GCTCTCCCGAATGCGTGGTGGTGCTTTCGCGCTAGAACGATCATCCGAGGACCTGCCGTTTCGAGAAGGAGGTGGTTCGAAAGGGAGGATGGCAACCCTCTTTCTGCAAGTTGCCTCATTCTTTTTTCTCCTTCGGCTTCTGCAGAGGAAAAAAGAAAGGAAAAAAGAAAAGAAAAAAAAAAGAGGAGAAAGCACGCTATGTTAGCGTTAGCGCTGGACTGGTGGTGAGTGCCAGAGTGGGGGGAAGGAGAAATGGATTTCTTCGTCGTAATCTCCGGGCCTCTTGGAACCCGCCACACTTGTGCTTTGTCACTGGTCTGCATCCTCACTGGTCATCTCAAGGTTAGATCCTAGTGTAGTGCCCGAAGGAGAAGATGGGAACTTTTTTATTCATGATAGCAAGCTGAGTTAATGGTCAAAGCGAGTATTATCGCGAATTCTGCCCTCGATGTCCCTGTCTCATGAACTGCTTCATATTATTGAACGGGCACGATTCGATAAGATGATAGCAGGGTTGTAGTGTACCTACTTACATCCCTCGGGCGCGTGGGCTTATCGCTCGCTGGAGAGATGAGATACGAATTCGAGAAAAAGTCCTTGTTGATACTGTAAGGGAGTACATACGACGTAGTAGCCCTTGCAGCAGATCGCCGTTGTTTTCTTCTTTCCCTTCATCGACACAGAAACGACACGACCGCCCTGAGCCCTCCTGTTCAGTGGTCCTCAATAAGTGTCAAAATGGGTGTTGGATTCTCTTGCTTACCGGGTTACAACTCTCCTCTCTCTTATTAGTCCAGCCCTTCTTCAGGATCTGCTATTACATTGAATAGATTGAACCAAGGGATAGTATACTTCGTACGAAGTAATATGGGTCGTTTTCTCCGCATGTCAGATGCACTTGGCAGATGATGGAATACTTGTACGACCCCAGAGCGATGTCGTGCTCTAGCTCGGACTCCATTCTGGCATCGAATGACTCCATTTTGAGAGATGAGATGGGGCCGCCCCGGCTGGAAGTGACTGGGAAGGACTCTCTTCCGCTTGTGGCAGCCATCTATAATACTTGCGTGAGCCGCTCCTGTCACCGACGGCTTTCGTCTCGAATTTGGCGAAGCCGAGGAGGCGGTATTGGGATGTATGTAATATATCCTGTTTATTGGGTTTGCAGTATTAAGCATCGTTGCGTACGTGGGGGAAACCGGTGATGAGGTATGAACTATTAGGCAAGCAAGATATGGAATACGCTGTGTAGCATTCAATTGGGGTACTATTATTGCAGATCTCACCCACTTCTGTATCTGCACTACACTGTTGCTTTGACGATACTTCAGTCGTTCGGATCCGTCCATCGTCTTCTCCTCTGGACCCTTATGACGGAACAGTGGCGATAGCCGGCTGTTGGAGTATTTGAGGGCACCGTTGGTCTGGGTACTATGGGGCATTTGAAGGAACGATCGATCAATCTGGCGTACACTAGCACTGTAGATCTTCTTGAGGTAGGTTCAGTAATTATTGTTACTCCGATGGATTGGTGTTGTCTTTGTAGGCTCTAGCCGCCTGTGCTGAAGCCGAAGAACGAACGACGGATCCGAAAATTGGTCCCCCTCCCATCGTTCCTTCGCTCCTTGGCTCCATGTAGGCTTGTGCCAAGTCGTCAGGTACTCTACAATGTATTTTACCCCCAGTTTTTCCCCACAACTCTTCTCGGTCAAATACACAAGTAGCGCCCGCTCGGTGCATTCGGACGCCACTCAAGGAAGCCCTCCCATTCGTCAACCAGACGCCTGGTCTTGAAATGTAACGATGCATCCCCCTCCATGTCCTTTCCTTGCATCCGCCTTTTTCACCCTCTCTTTTCTGACTTCTGATAGTAATAACAATACCAGCTTTTCGTATCCATATTTGGTAGGAAGTACTTAATGGTATAGCTCTCTTTAGTTCATTATACCCCAAGCACCCCTTTAATCTGTTTAAACTACTTCGTAGTTTAGAAGGAAACGGCGGGATTCAATGCCCCTGGCAGAACACCAGAGAAGCCCTGCCCCGAGCTTGGGACTCAGCTCGGCCGAAAACCAGTCCCCAAACCGAAGAAACCCGTAAGAGGCGCATTTTGTGGCTTGACGCTTTGTTGTCAGCGGCGCCGCCGAGAAAAACAAAAACGCTCGTAGAACAAGCTCCTTGGCAGGGCTGACTACGAAGTAGGGAGGAACCAAGCTTTTGTGCATCACTGCTTTCTGCTTTTAAGTTTTGGGGTTGAGCGCTCGGATTTTTTTTTTGATTGGAATTTGATAAAGGATCGCAGGAGATGCGATTTGGTTCCCTTGCCAGGAAAATAAAATGTCAGTACTTTGTAAAAAAGAAACGCAGCCGCAGCGCAGACGAAGGATCAATCAGGACCAAAGCAGCAGTAGTGATGAAAACGCGGGCGGGTTAGGTGTGGTGGGCACTGGGCACGGGGGAAGGGGCCCCATATTGGCTTGCCTGGTCTGGATAATTAGACGAGGGAACTTTTGTCAAGTTGCTCCTCCTCCAGATGTAAGTACACCTGGGAACTCCAAATCTACCTTAAGGGTACCATAGCTCACGCCCAGGAAATGCTGGGCCGGTACCGTACCACTTGGTGTACCTCAAGTAGTATTTTACCCTTCTCTTTACCATGGGGCTTCGTTCCTTTTGGTAACTGTCCCCGAATTTGTCTCCCTAGCACTTGCATCAGAATGGGTACTTTGCTTCAAGCACACAATCGCCCCCGGTCTAGCTTTGGGTTTGGGCTGTCTCCCTCTTTCCCTCGGCACGCACATGACCCTGTTATCTGTGAATTGCAGTTTCCTCGAATTGCACTTGCCTTGCTCGTACTGGAAGCGATCGAGATCGAAATGCAGCAAGACCTTTCCTGAGAGAGGTCCATATCCGCGAATACCTGACTTACATCAATCCCCACTATTCTCACGTAACGGCGTATTGTCGTCGCCAAGTCCTTGAACCTGCCGACATTCCCTAGGTGGAGGGTTGAGGACAGTGTCTCCATCAATGATACACTGCTGGTACACATTTCTCAGTGAAGGGGTACACCGATAGGGCTTCGTACATGCAGAAATGGGGTCTTGGTGTCTTGAGTTAGGCCCAATCCAACGCATGAGGAAGCCAATCTGGGCAGTCTCATTCCTCAAGTCCTCTGTGCTGTGTCCCTCCCCTTTCTTCAACTCGTATTCCGTGCCCCCAGATACTGTACGTCGTGGAGACAGACTATGTACACTGCCTTACTACTACACGACACTACACGACACTACACTCCTCTCGTACCTCATCCAGAGTAGTGTGTGTCCACCGCATTAGCCCTACTAGTCCAGGTACTGATGTCCATGGCGCTACGGAGGACGCCGCGACAAGACTCCCATTGTGTTGTTAACGTCGACTCTCTCTCCCTCCACCATCGATCAATGAATCTCGCTTTCCTCTGGTTCTTCTGGCGCCCCCTCTAGTGCTGACAAACATTTTTTTCTACCTTCCTTGTCGTTTCCTACTCTCTCGCTCTAAGTGTGGTTTTTCCTTTTGAACTTTTTTTTTCTGGGTGGATAGGGGAAAACAAATCCTCAGGTCGATGGCAGTGCCTGGGCTCGCAATGCTGTGCTAATGAACTTTCCATCTTACTGAGTTCACATTGCCCTGTCCCTGCTCGCCAGAGCTCTATTTTTTATATTGCTCAGCCAAGTACAGCGAGTTGAGGCTTTCGGTTCACGCGATTGCCTTTTCCCAACGGTACACTCGGTTGTTATCTGGGTGTCACTCCCAGGAAACGAACGAGGGGGAACACGAACACTGGCGGTAGAGCGCGGGAGATTGATATCCAGAAAGGCAAGAGACCCCATCAGCTCATAACCAGGTCGATTTTTGCCCAGTCGGACTTGATCTTACTACGCCCTGGTACTGGTACTGGTACACAAGTACCTCTCTCCTCTCCATTCGCAGCTTTCCTCCCTCACTCCACTCACGACCAACACCGCCGCCGCCTTGAACAACACAGCTCTCCTCTCCGGCCCATCACCAACAGGTTCTTCACCCTTTCACCCTCCTCACCAACCGTCATTTTCCTAGATGCGGATATAAGCGAAAAAACAGTCGAAGCATTGTGTAATTACACCATATTCGTTAAACGCCCCGACCCCCTTCTTGTGCTTTCGGCCCATCGGATCCTTTGAGAGTGGGCTCTGTCTATTTTAATTCTCGCCCACCAGGCCGGTATTCGTCGCCGCGTTATTACTATTACTGCTTTTATTATTATTGTCGTCAATCCGAGTGTTATTCCCCGCCTCGCCCTTCTTCATTCACCAGGACCCTATGAGACTTTCGCCTCGTCGTGCGCCGGCCTTTGTCCTCAACCTCGACCAAGGGTGTATACCCAGACAAGAGCGCCTCGTGCCACAGATGGGTTGTTCGCCAACCTGTCTGGCGGATGTGACCCCGACGGACGAGTAGAAAACCATTCGTTATCATTTTTTTTTCTTAATAGACGCGAAGAAGAACCAAGGGGAGAAGATAAGGAGAAAACGCAGCCGGACTTTTGTTTAACCCGCCTCATTCGTGCCGACTTTCCTTTGGAACAGCCTTCACTATTTTTTTCTTCCCACCGTGTCGAAGCGATCTTTTTCGTCATTGATCCTCCCATCCGATCCGAACGAATCTCCGGCCCGAGCCTATCCTCTCTTTGCGGTCATCTTTGGCTCTGTTCGTGTGTTTCACCTCTCTCTTGTTCGAGCAAGATCGACGGCCCTCGTTGAGCTTGCTGGGATCAGCCCCATTTGTTTGAAACAAAATCGATCCGATCGACCAGAGAGTCTCTTGTGCCGCCCACCCCCCTTTCTTTCTACACGGAAAGCTCTTCCCGGTGAAACAACGCCTTACCTCTGACCGAGTCCCTCTTTTCGCTACTAAGCGGATAGGGGGCTCAAAAACCAAAGAGAGTCGGTTCCCCGGCGGCATTTCCTGTCTGCCGGGTAGACATGTTTAATCACTCACCCGGTAAGCTTCGTGGCGGTCTTGGATCTCGGCATGGCGCAGACCCTTCTCCCGGTGGTGGCGGCCTCGATCTCGGCATCGAGAACCCCAACCAGCAACAGCAAAAGCAGCAGCAGCAGCAAGATCAGCAGCAACAGCACTTCCTACGGCACCTCCACCAGTTCCAGAATCAACCGCCACAGAACCGACCGCAACAACAGACACATTCCTCTCACCATCAGCCAGTCTTCTCCGACGGTCTCGGCTTCGCATCCCCTCCCGCGCAGGATGCGTCATCGATGCACCGTTTCTCGACGAATATGGGCCCCGACCAGGTCCACGACCCGGCCGATGGTCAGGACGTCACCATGGGCGATGCGCATGAGCCGGAAGCGAACGTGACGAACCTGATAGCCCATTTCGAGAACGGAAAGAAGAAACCCCCGAAGCCCAACAAGCCTTCGCACATCGCCGCTTTCAACCGTTCGAACAACCCTCTGAGAGTGACAAGCCCAACGGGGGAGCAATTTACGTCCTCTTCTTTGAGGGTGCGCAGTGGATCGATTGGACGGCCCCCGCCGGTGCGGTTCGGTAGTATGGGGTACCAGGGGCATTCGGGCATGCGGGTGTCGAGCCCAATAGCGAGTCAGTCGGTGGAAGCTTATGGGAATAGAACCGCGGGCCGGAGTACCACCTCGCGCGCTACCGCTGCCGCGACGCCGACGTCACCGTACACGACGATAGCGAGCTCGATGGATATGCCGGTGCCGTTGCGTAGACAGGCCAGCACGATTGGGGCGATGCAAGTGGACGGCGTGACGAGCTTATCGAGCGATAACTTTTTGAGTCCTGATGCCATCTCGCCCGGCCCCGGAAGCATGGGCGGCGGCGGCGCACACTCGCCGTTTGGCTTTGTTGATAATGGCAACAGGATGGTACGATCTGTGCAAGGCCACATGCTAGATACGTTTGGCGGAACGATGGGCAGCCCGATTATAGGAACACCGACCTCGCCATTTGGAAATATGGATTACTCCGCGCCGAGAGTTGTGAGCCCGATCCAGAGTCCGTCAGTCGACCCGTACGGAGACATTGGCGTCTTGGCGGGTATAGGGGTTAGCAACGCGGCGGCATCGCCCTTTGATGCCATGTCTGCCGTGGACCGAGTTACGAGCCCCATGGAGACGAGGGGAGTGGATGCGTTCGACTTCCGGATGGATACGAAGCCACCGCCACAGTTTGTCCATACGCCTACTGATGCGTTCCAGAGCCTCGATCCTTTCCAATCGCTAAACCCGGCCGTGAACCACCATCAGCCGGCCCCGCCCCAAGTCTCGTTCTCTGGCATGGCTTCTCCGTCGTCCACGGATCCTTTTGGGGACATTGGGCTTCTAATCAAGCAAGAGCCGAATGTCGACCAGGTGGAGTTTGGAGGCTTGAGTCCTGCGCCCAGAAGTGCCACTACTGTACATGCGCCCATTGATTTTTCCAACCCGGGCTACTTCCAGGCACAACAGCCGCTTCAGCAATCGCACTCCCACCAGCAACACCCACAACAACCCCTACATCACACTCACCAACAGCACCATCCGCAGCAACACCAACCTCAACCACCACCCCCTCCGGCAAAGAAACTCTTCCTGTCTCGAAGCCAGCAGGATATGAGTGGGAACCAGTCCACTCCCGGCTTCAACATCTGGAGACCACCAGTACCTTCCACACCAAAACCCGTCCTTACACACAGCCAACAGGCCTCGTCCGGATCGATATCATCATCCGCAGCACCGAACAAGTCCGCCGCTTTCCTGGCACAGTCGAGAGCCGAGCTCAGGATACAAACGGACCACCCGAATGTCATGTCCCACCACCAGCATCAACAACAGCAACAACAACCCTTTAGTTCGACCTTATCGATTACTTCCCCTACCAGCGCAATATTACCTTCTTCTTCGACGGAGAACCCTGTGCAGAGTCCTCTTGCTGCATCTCCTGTATGATTTTTTTGATTTTTTTTAACCCTCTTTCCCTAGAAAGAACACCTCGTCAGATAGTTTCGGGTTTGGCTAACGTTTTGCTACTACAGAATCCACCTCCTCTACCTGTTCGCCCAACTCAGCAGGGGTCGCGCCCTTCTCGAGAGCAGGTCCCAGCCGAGGCGTGGGAATCCATGAAGTCGACTATCAGGCAACTATACCTTGAGGAACGGAAGCCGTTGAAGGAAGTCATTCTGGTGATGGCGGAGAGGCACGGTTTCCAGGCGACGTAAGTTCTTTCCCTGTGGTATTAGCCTTTCAAATTTTTTACCACTTATTCCTTTTCTTCTCCCTCCCTTTTGGCTAACACCTCGCAGTCCAAAGATGTACAAGACTCGGTTCTCCCAGTGGGGTTTCGTCAAGAATAACACAGAAGAAGAAGTCAAGAAGTTACTGTCGATGAAGTTCCAGCGAGACGCCGAGGGCAAAGTATCGGAGTTTGTGCGGAACGGACGAGTGATTAATTTAGGGACGTATCTTAAGAGGAAGGGAGTGACAGAGTATGACCTTGTCGATTTCGAGACACCGGCCGATCTACCTTCGTACGTGCGATGTCGTACCCCAACCCCGCCTCCCGCTCCGGGTTATCTGCGTTCACCAGAACTGCTCCGAGCGCAGGAGACTGTTGTTGGGAACTTGAGGAAAGCTTTCCTCCATTGTCGCCAGTCAGAACTGGATACGAAGACGACGGTCGGGTGGACTACGGTGATGGTCTGGGGTGCGGGTTCCACCGAGCTCTTATACGAGGCGAACAAGCGTGTCGAGAGAGGAGGTGCGGGCCAGGGCGTGGACCTCATGGAGGCGTTCCAGCAGCTCGAGGTGGACCTGCAGAAGCTGTCGCCGCAGAGCATCAAGGAGGTCTTGATGGGCATGGTGCACCGCGACCCGGGAATGATGACTGCACTCTCGAAGTACCTGGCAGCTTACTCGACAACAAACTACGAGCGGTTGCACCCTTTGCGGCAGATCTTTACGACGTTGTACGAGGTTCAGCAGAAGCACGGCCCCATGACGCTCTCCGATCTTGTTTGGGACTGCATCCCGACGCTTGCCGACGAACTCGAATCGATCTATGGCCGACGACACCCGTACGTGGCACGAACGTGGATCGATCTGGCGTTATTCTACCGGCACACCAACGGCGAGCGACTGCAGAAGCTTATTTCCGAGTACCAGCCGCACCGACGGGCCGTCGAATCCAAGGAAGGCGCGCACTCGCCGGAGGCTTTTGCTTTCCGGTACACGCTTTTGCAACTCCTGCATGCCGTAAATCCGCAGTCTCCTGCTCTCAAGGCGGAGACGCTGGCGCTGTGGGAGGAGCTCAAGGACTCAGGCCGGACCTTCCTCACGAGGAGTTCGGATGCCAACACGTATTGCGTGCACGACGCCGTAAAAGTGACGCCCTGGACAAAGAGGTGCAAGGAGACGTACGCAACGATTGCCGAACTGCTGCAGCGGTACGCATCTGTCAAGGTGCGGTTCTATTTCGAGGAGAATATGCATACGGACGAGTATGAGCATGTTCCTGATGCCATGTCGGCTTGGGGCTTTGTTATGGGGCAATCAGTCTTTTCTGGCAATCGTGTCATATAAAACACCAGTCAAGATAGGCCCCATCTCTGACCACTGCCAATGCCTCTATAAGCACGATGACAACTTCCACCTCCCTGCGAGCCAAATATCTTCAACGGCATTCCGACTTGATAACCTTCGCACGAGGAGCTCCTGAGACGACGAAACGCGGTCTATTATTGTCTGGCGAGGCCTGCTTTCTTTCCTTTCATATACGCATTATATATATACCATGGGATCTGGCGCAATAACGGCGTTCGTTCCCAAGAATCCGGCATTTTGGACGCGGTCGATTCCATATTTGCATAGCGGGTTTACATGACACTTTTTGGTTTTGGCAGCGCCTTTTGATTTTTTTTTTTTCTTTCTCCCTTTTTCTATTCTCATGTATCCCCTCGCCTTATTGATCAGCCGACATCTTTTTTTATGTACTTTTATAAATGTCTTATATACCTTCCTACCTGCTTATTCCCCCTTATATGGCATCATTTTACCCCCTATCTACATACACTCTCTTATGAGCAAGTCTCGGATGGGCTTTCACTCTGGAGCCTTTCGAGCCTAGACTTTTTCTTTTGTCCTTTTTTTTGGGTTGCATCCTACCTAGTTTTCCACGGAGGTCGCGAAGGGGAAATGTCGATAACGCCCTTTACTATGCTTACTCGTATGAAGGAAATCTCTTATGCTCTTCTAGTATAAGTATACAAAATATAATATACACTACATGACCTCCGGTTTGCCACGGGCACTGACTAGTAAATATCTATTGAATGCCCGCAGATCCTGCAGAACGTATTAGTTGTTACTAAAGTTCAGCCACCCCCAACTCCGGATCCTTGTAATACACGTACCACACCTCATCGTTGTGTAGCTGGACATAGAGGTCCGGCCCAATATCGCTCGTCCTCATCTTCATCCAGTCCTCCGAGGAGTACGGCCAGGCCTGAACGAGATTAACATAGCAATTCCACAACCCCTCTCCATCGACCGTAATGAAAAAATTATGCCTCGAGCCGGTGCCTCTCGCATTCTTTCGCGCCCAGCCCTGGAAACGAGGCCTTAGCTCCTCGGGCGAGGCGCCCTCGAGCGCCGGGTCCTCGACGAAGATGAAGTCCATGGTTTCGGCGATCCCGGGGGCGTCGGATCGGAGGATGGATGCGCGGAGGTCCTTTTGGATGCGGTGCTTGAAGTTGGACCAGGAGGGGTTGAAGACTTTGGCGTAGGAGGTGCGGTAGATCACCCAGCCCCATTTTTCATCTCCGTCGTGTTGGATTTTTGCTTCGGGAGAGAGGTTTTCCCATTCTTCGCGGGTGAGGGACTTGGTGAGGGTTGGTGAGGAGGTGAAGGGGCGTTGGGTGAGAGTACATGGAGGGGGCGTGGTGACGGGCCGGTGGATGGATGTTTGGTGATGGAGGGTCCGGGTTGGAGGGAGGTGGTGGCGGATGGTGCGCGGGATGGACTGCGGGGAGGGGAGTTTCGGCCAGAGTCTAAACGAGGCGGCCATTTGTTTTGGTAGGTGGAAGCTATGAGATGGATGGGCCTAGTATGTGTGGTCCTTGGAAGCGGATGAGGGACGTTTTAAAGCCAGCCGGGATAGCTCGTTCGCTATCTCTCGGAGGCGGGAAGTAAGGGTATATTTAGAGTAGGCGGAGAGGCTTGTCCACTTGCTGTTCTTTTCTTCACATTCTAGAGAGAGTGGTAGTTTCAGGCTCTTGTGCTCTTCTGCAATAGAGGTTAAGAGAGTCCTTTATTTGCTGGAAGTCAGTGGGAGCTTTGGGTGTTGGATGAGGAAGGGATGGATGAGAGATGAAGATTTGAAGAAGTAATTTCCCAGTTGGTGCTCGGCAGTGGCAGTCTTGGCAGTTTCTTTTCCTCGATCATATGCATTTGAGAGAGGAGAACCAAATGAGGACTATTCTACATTACTATAGAATATAATACAGGAAGTTCTTTTCGTTCACCTATCAAAAAGAGGGAGTCAAACAGTTGGAGATTGTTGGAGATAATGTGTGGAAAGGGCAAAAAAAAGGGAAAAAAAGAATGTAGCATTGCTAGGTTTCGATCCTAGGTCCCCTGGGTTATGAGCCCAGTGCTCTACCCCTGAGCTACAATGCTTGGGAGTGGTTGGTTGAACTTCCGACCCCAGGAAGTTTCTTATAAAGCTATTTCTGACTGGGAACATCCAAACGAGAACCGACATTATGTAAGTTCCACGTGGGGCCGTCGCCTGTGATGGCGACAGCGAATAGCTTCATTCTCCAGATGCTTAATTGGACGACCGCCGCATGACGGAACAGGCACCGAGAACAAATCAACGGAGAGAGATGGGTAATGCTGCGATATTAGGGTATGTCACTGGTTTATTATGAAGATACCCTTCTTTTTAATTTTTACCGTTTTAGGACATTTTTTTCAGGGGGCGAAGTTCTGCGGTGTCCCCTGAGCCTCCTCTTTGGAATGAGGGTTGATGGGTAAGTCCGATGCTGTGCATGGTGAGATTTACGAAGGGGAGATGTGGCATCAAATGAGATCCCGTCGATCTTTTATGGCTCACAGGAAGGTATGACAGTTCGGTGCTTCTTTCAGCTCGTTGTAATTTGGCTACCTGAGGAGGGAGTGTCTCAAGAAGAGAGGTAAGGGCTTCGTTCGGGTTATATTCTTCTGTGGCGCGGTTTCAATGAGCTTGGCTAGCCCAAAGTCTCTCATCCCTTTCAGCCCTATACTCATTTATACATATGCCCCCCGTCTGCTTGGCAGGGTCGGGAAAGATCACTACCAAGTAACTCGGGCCATCACCCCCAAACGAACCCTGCGTTAGGCCCCCTTGCCGTCGGAAAGGGAGCCATTGGCCGGGAAGTACCAACGGGATGGTACAGGACAATGAAAGACCAGAGTCCATTTCGCTACCAAATCCACTTTCGGAAACGAGTGCGATCATAACCCTTTCACTGTTCCAATACTCGAGACGAGACACGGGTGCCAGCGAGATAACCTTTTGCACGCTTGTGTTTCTCGGAGAGTGTTTTGAGTGGGTCAAAGGGTACTATTGCTGCCTTCTCACCTGCTATTGGATAACTTAGTTTTGTGGGCTCAAAGGCTAGATCCCGTTAGGCTACCTTGATGGGATGACGGTATTTGAATGGTGGAGGGGGCGAGGAAGATTTAGGACGTGGTTCGTTGTCCCCTCTCTCCACCCCCTGCATTCTCTCATTCGGGTTTGGTAGGGCGGAAAATGCTGCCCTGTGGAGAGGAGGCCGGATCGTGATGCAGGACTGCAGTGACATGCTGGGTAGGCCGGGAGATCTTTGTGGCTGGGATGCAGGAATCAGTGGCGAGAGGGACAGTCGTGGATTAGGACTTGGGAGGACTTCTTTGTTGCCTTTTTTGAATCTATCATCTTGTTGTTTTGTTTTCTCGCGTATATTACGTCTAATCGTGGATTTTTGATGGGGAAGAGGTCCATTTCTTCCTGTTCTTCTTGACCGCTTGTTTTTTCGTTGTGCTTGTGCCTGAACTGGCCTTTGGTCATTCGCTCGTTTTTATTCAGGCTCGTCCTTAGTTTTTTTCGATCTTTTGACTTCAACTACTGAAAACGACTCAACGCCTGGTTCCCTGCCTGGTCCGAGGAACAGGGGTAGTAAGAGAGACTCGAGATGTTGGGGAGCAGGAAGGATACGAGGGGTCGCTTGAAGAGGAGCGAGTCGACGCGATACTCCGCCATCAATCCACTAGGTACGTAGATGGCACTCATCCATCTCTTTGGTCTGGGAGGAAAGAAGGTGAGGTTTTGTTTTTATCTAACCATCCCCTTCTCGACAAATCCAGCCAAGAAGGACTTCAAGAATACATCCTTCTTCGTCAGATTCTACGGCATCGTCGTGCTGCTTCTCGTGAGTGCTGGGCTCTTGGGTCTCACAATATGGCTTCACAAGAGACTGCCCGACGGAGCCAAGTCCCAGTTCAAACTCCCCTTTACGAAACGAGATCTCGACTCGTCCCTCGACTTCTCTAAACGTCCCCGGGGCACAGATGGTCTAGCAACAGGTGTCCAGCAGCGCGAGATTCGGCCCACGGCGACTGTCCACCGATATGTCAACATCCACGTCCGGCAGGATGTTCCCAGCCCCTCTGCTTCTGGAAATTCATCCTCGCCCGCAAACCCATGGGTGCAGCCGGCGCTGACTTTCTTGGTGAATCAAACCCTGCCGACCTTCAACCTGAACGATACGTGGCTTGCTACTACTACGACCACCGCGCAACCTGGATCAGGAGGTCTAGGGGAAATCTTCATCCCGCCGCTGATTGCGGCTCCTCCCCCGACGTTGACGGCAGCACCGGCAGTGCCCGATTGCCCAACTCCGGTCTGCGTTCCCTTTGTCCCGGGGCTGACGTTGGATCCCAACTTCCCATGGTTCAATATACCTCCGGGGGCCGATACCTTCATCAGTGACACAGAGCCAGAAACCTCCATCAACATCCGCAAGAGGGACCAGAAAAATCAACGAAGACAAGGGCAAGCGTGCTACTGCCCGACTTCTACAACGAGCTCGGCGAAACTACCGATCTATACGTTTCCATCCGGGTTGATCAACCCGTTCCCCGCAGACGCTCTCTGCCTTGACGGTGAGATCGTATGCTTTCTAACCGATGATGAGCTATTCGGGGATGTGGTTTGGCCGTCCCCCACGAAGATTATCCCGCATAAGAGGGCGGAGCTGAAGAAGAGGTCGACTTGTGTGTGCCAGACTACGACGGCGCCGCCGACGAGTAGTACGTCTTTAGGGAATGAGTGTCCGGAGGGGCAGTCTTGGAGTTGTGTGCCGTTGCGTGGTTTCCACGCTATGGATTGTAGGTGTAGGCCGGATGTGGTGACGTCGGTGTCCAGTTCTGCGTCGAGTACTGAGATCTCAACTACGTCTACTACGTCTACGACTTCTATTTCGGAGAGTAGCTCGAGCTCGACGACGGAATCTAGTACAGAGCCCCCGACTTCGACGACCTCAACGACATCTAGTTCGAGTACGACTACATCTACGACGTCAACGTCTACCACACCTTCCACCACACCGGAAACATCTACAACACCGACCACATCCACTACTCCCACGACCTCCACAACTCCAATAACATCTTCCTCTACGCCAATCACGACGATACCGTCCTCCTCCACCACAGCAACGGAATGTCCGTCTGGCCAAGTCCTAATCTGCAACCGCCGGAAACAATGCGCCTGCTTCCCCGAGACGAAGTCGGTATCAGAGTCATCTTCGACTAGCGAATCCACGTCGGAGTCCGCATCCACTTCCGAGTCAACCTCGGATCCCCCTTCGTCATCGACCGAGGTGTCTAGCTCCATGGCGGAGTCTAGTTCTGAAAGCCCGTCGGTTTCGACGTCCGCTAGTGAGTCTCTAACCAGTTCAGACTCGAGTAGCAGTACCACTACTACGTCGGAGAGCACTAGTGAGCCGAGCAGTGAATCAACCACGGAGTCTTCATCACAGACGGTCTCTTCGCTGGTGTCGCCAAGTTCTAACGGCAGCACTTCGGCCTCTCAGTCTTCCGTCGTTTCTTCTCCGTCGTCAAGCGCTTCGGCATCAGTCTCGACTTCAACTTCTGTCTCACAGTCGGCATCTACCTCAAACTCACCGTCTGCCTCCATTTCAGACTCACAGACCGTTTCCGCCTCTCAATCAGCCTCCGCCTCAGATTCTCAGTCTCTCTCCAGCCAGCCGTCGAATTCCGTCCCTACACAGACTCCACAATCCCAAACGCAAGCGACAAGCCAGTCAGACTCGCAGCCGACGGTCACCCCGACTAGCGATTCTCAGCCAGTCACTCTCCTTCTCCAGAGCGATTCCGACGCGAACTCAGCCTCCGCCTCCGCCTCTTTCTCGGCAACAGTATCGGATATCAGTGCCTCTGACTCTGCCACTCCGACGCCGTCGGCAAGCCCAGAGCAATCGACTGTTGCATCACAGACACCAACAACCGCTCCACCATCAAGCTCTTCAAATTCCGCATCCAACTCGGCCACTAGCGCAACAGAGAGTGACACCTCCACCGATACAAGTGAGGAAGCGACAGCAACGGCCACCGAGTCGTCCACTGGAGCAGGCGGTGGTGGCGGTGGAGGACCGAAGCCCTCTGGCGATGCCGAACCCGTGATCGTCGTCTCCTGGCCCGTAGACCGTTCTGTGCTCGCAAACCACGCGCCCCTCATCGTGGCTCGAGTCTTTACCTCCTTTGTGGCCGCCGCTTACCGCGATTTCGGCTCCTTTGAGCCCGTTCGTCAGTTGTTCTCCGATGATGGGGCCTCGGGTCCTTCTCTAGCGGGAGCGGGCGTAACTATCATTCCGATCGTCTTGTCTGGTTTTGTCGCAGAGGTTGGCAGTGGCTTTGCGGCGGAGGCCGTGTTTCTGGACACGCACTACTGCGATGAGCCCATGTTTGGCGATTCTCTTAATCCCTGCTGGCCACCGAGGGTCAGTAGCAATGGGTGGGCGTTGACGGTGTTGACTACATCGTTGGCTGTCGTGGTCGTATCGCTCGTCTACGTCGTTGCGCTATGGCTAAGGACGCCCCAGAGCGTGACCATGAAGGCGACATCTTCTATTGCCGCCGTCGCAAGCGTTATGGGCCATCCCGAAGTAGAAAGGGACTTTTCAAATGTACCATCCGAGCTCTCCAATAAGGGACTCATCGCCCGCCTCAAAGATAAAAAGTACACGATGGGCAACTTTTCCGTTGAAGAGCTCGGAACCCGCTTCGGCATCATGCCACTGATCCTCAACCTCCAAGACAACAAGAAGAAGCGCAGATCCGTCGTTGAGCGTGTCGGAGACAACTGGACAAAGCTAATCTCGTCAGGAAAGGAAGAGCAAACGCACTCCGACTGGATGAAGAAGCGCGAATACCTCGACTATGGCTTCGCCGCCATCTTCTTCGCGCTCCTAGGCCTATCCATCGCAGCAGTTGCCTACGTAGATGACCCGCGTCGCATATTCCGGTACACCACGCGCGAGTGGACCATCGGCATCCGGATCACCTTCGCCCTCCTCGCCATCGCAGTGGCGAAGTATTGGTCCACGGCCTTCACCGACGTGCAAAACCTAGCGCACTACGCGCGTCTCCACGAAACCCCCTCCGACGCGCGGGACACCATCAACAAGAAGTCCTACGCCCTTCCTATCGTGGCCTTCTTCCCCCTAGTGCGCATGGGCTACATAGTCCCCGCCGCCGTGGCCCTCACAGCTCTCATGAGCGAATTCCTCGTTATCTCTCTCGCGGGCCTCCCCTACCGCCCCGGCCAGCTCCGCACCGAGTACCTCGTCTGCGGCGTCATCTCCATAGCAATGCTCCTAGTCATGCTCGTGATGATCTTCTTCCTGCACAGATGGCGAAGGACGTTACCGCATTTGCCAAGGAGGCCGGATTCGGTGGCGGCGGTGATGACATACGTTGCGCAGACGAACATGTCGAGGGATTTCGTGGGCATTGAGGAGAGGAAGAGGAAAGAGAGGGAGAGGGCGATTGAGGGGTTGGGGAAGAAGTATGGGTATGGGATAAGGGTGGAGGAGGATGGGCGGAAGAGGTGGGTTGTTGATGAGGTGGAGGTTGAGTATGACGCGGAGAGGAGGAGGATGGTTGATGAGGCGAGGTATAGGAGGGAGGAGGGGACGATTTGAGTGGAGGGAGAGAGAAGATGTGGGATTTCTTTGCATGTTATGGCGCTTTTTTTCTGGGGTAACGCTGGTAATGTGATGGCTCTATTTACAACTAGGATGGATCATGCTGGGCATTATGGAATATTTCTTGGGTTTGGAATGTTGTTGCTGGAATAGATCATCTTGTTTTGGACTTAGATGTACACCTCCTTGATGGATAAAATCTTTCAGGCTGTTAGTTATACTTCCTTTAGGTAGCAAATGTCAGATATGTGAATATGACAATGTCATAGATTTTCTTGGATCTAGCTCGGCAGGTCGGAGCTTCGGGGCGAGCACCATGTGTTCCCCTGGCTCCTTCACTCGGGAGTAGAAGTAATTAAGAGCTCACCACTCACCGGGAATCAACTCGGAGTATCACCTTGGCACTCGCAGCCATAAGCGTCACTTTCCATCCATCATACACATACAGAGCACGGAACTGGATGCCAGGGTGAAACAGCAGTGTGTATGAACCGCGACTGCTCCCTGAACAGACGGCGTCATGTTGCGTTGTGGAATCAAGATACTAGAGGGCAATTCGGAACACGACGGCGCCTTTCCAAGCACTGGGGTTCAAGTGGCTCATATCGGTATTTAAGTGTCAACTCGGATTCGATTAACCTCGAGCGGGGAGCGGTGCGGGACGCCGGCTACCGGTCTTATATAAAACCGAGAGAAGAAGAGTCTCTCAATGGCCGTTTTAGAGGAATGTCGGAAAGGGGCGATCCTCGGTTATCCATAGACCTCTCTCGTTTTCCATCCTACCCCGTGGTAACTGTGACTGCATATCCGCCTGTCAGTAAGAGTAGTTAAAAGAAGGAAGACCACACCTACCCATTCTATCAAACACGAATACCATCTTCCCTTGAGATGTCTCTTGACGAAGACACGTCCGAATCACTAGAACGAATCTAGCTTACTCGTCCAGGTTAGTAAACACACAATATCCTACCAAGGTTAGAAAAACTCACGCGTCCCTCTCCAAGACATCCTCAGCCCCTTCCTTCAAGCTCAACTTCCAAAAACGAAAGGAATCAGAAGGAGAAACTCCTGGATTCCATATAAACCCTACACTCTCCCCTAGACATTGTCAATAGCCTCCGTAGCTCGATTCCACCATCCCATCGTGGGCACCAGCAAAATAAGGCAGAGAACCAAGATAAGAGCCATCAAGGCGATGATCCAGCCGAGGCATCTTCTGACGGCGGAATAAGACATGTCGTCGTCGTTTGGGTAGAGAAGCGAGCGGTCAGAGTCGGAGTTTGGGGGTGGGGGAGGAGGGTTGAGGAGAGGGCGGTACTTGGGGCCGCGGTTGGAGGGGGAGATGGTGAGGTATGGTTTAGGCATTCTGAAATGGATTTGCTTTTCTTGCTGGATGACGTTGGCTTGGTTGGAGGTGTGTCTTTGTGGTGATGTGAGAGCGGTGGTGTTCTTGGAATCGATGTCTGGGTTTCGTTTGTTTCGTGGATGGCGATGATCTTGGCAGATGGGTGGATCAGATCCAGGGGGTAAACAAGCAGGCGAGAAGGGGCGCCATGAGATAGGAAGGAAGGGTTTCGGGTCTAGCGAGGGCAAAACAAAAAGTGTTCTTGAAGAAGAAGAAGGCTGATATGGCCGGTCAATCACTAGGGGTGGTAGGTAGAGAGCCCACTGAAAGCAGAGAAAGGTGCCGAATTTGCAGCAACATCTCGAGGCAGAAGCAGTACGACAATGGCACCGTAGAACTGGTTGGAGGGAACCGGAGATGTAAGCTGCACAGCCACTGCTATATGTTCTAGGTGAAGAACGAGAGAAGGGGATGTTGAACTGCCTAGAGCATCAATGCAGTTGTGTAAGTAATATGATGTGTGATGGAAACGGTGACCTAGATCATATAAAGAAGGTCTAAGAAGAAAAACCAATACCTGAAGGTCGTAAGGACTTGGGTAAAATCCCAGGAATGGACCTCTTTCACTGTCTGTCACATCCAAAAGAGATCAGTTCTACAAAGAAAAAAGGTCAAAGAAACAAACCTCGGAAACACCCAAGAGTTGTCCCTTCAGAACTTCTTCCAAGTGAAGGTGATCCGAAAGGAAAAGCCCACCGAATCGCGACCATTTTGGAGAAGCCTTGCCCGTATCCCGATCTCTAGGCACCAAATTTCTTCGGAAACGGCAAGGCACTCGATAGCATAACTCGTCTACCATCTACCTACCCCAGATAGAAGAGCAGGACCTCTCCCAACTCAGGTCAAGAGCCTGGATGGGCCACCAACTTCCAAAAGAGTGGAATAAGTACAGCTTCCTCCTTCGCCGTGTAAATCGTTGTAGGTATGGAAAGAGCGCCAGCCAGATGAAGTTACTTCCTCTATACGTTCCCATAGTTCCATGGAGATGGGTCCGAGAGAGAGTAGCTCTCCATTGTCCAACTAGATGCTTCCGACAGAATGAAGTCTGATATATTTCAAATCCATTCCTCCAGCCGCACCAGGAACTCGAGCAAGCAACCCCCATCGAGGCCTCCAGATATACGCATATATGCTCTTCAGCCTCAAAGTGATGCCATGCCACGAAGCGGAGAGTTGCATTGCCACTTTGAGGGCATAGGCTGCAACGAATATACCCGCGTATATATGGATGGAATTTGGCAGTTGTAAGGCTCATCGCCTCGCGTCTTGGGCGGCTTCTGTCTTCTTATTCAGTACTTCTTCTGTCCGGCAGCCGCCCGAGCGGGAAGCGAGCAGAGGACGTGTCCGGGTACTATCAGCCGACGTCTTTCCACCAGGTCTCGGTCAAGAATGCCTTCTGATAACCTCGTTAGTGGAACTATGAGCGCATTGCTGAAAGACAATGCACCATATTTCGGCGTCGAATATCAAAAACTGAATTGCGCAATTCTGTTTCGATCCAGCTTCCATCTCATAATTCCATAGGGATTGGAGGCTCAGCCAGTGTCAGCTCGGAAGTCAATTGTGCCGTAGCCCTATCATGGCGGCTTTCATCAGGTACTACTATTATCTGCTGGATCGTGAAATCGCTCACGGTGATAGACCGACGGTGATCACTCGTGTGCATGGTGGTGATGTATTGGGGATCGAGGAGGCTGAGGCTAGTGCCGATGAAGAAGCTCGAGGACTCGAGGGGAGCAACTGCTGCCTGTTGATAGGTACAATTGTGCAATTATACATCAATGATTCCGTATTTTATTTACTAATCGCTGGATTAAAAATCATGCTTAGTTCCGGAAGGTGCACTCGGCTCCGGCGCCTCATCACCATGGCGTCATCTCGGTTGTGGTACCTCGCGCATAAGTCGAATCCGAATGCCGATGGTCGTCGGACCCAATGATAGTGTCCAATTGATGGGTTTCCCAGATGGAGGACTGCCCCAGGCCGGGGGAATTATAGCTTCCGATTTCTAAGCTCCCGCGGACCTATGTTTCACTGGCGATGGCGTAACTAATAAGCCTAACACTACTTAAAGCACCAGTAACCCATCCATAGCTTCACTCTCTATTTCCTTGTAAACTAAGCTACCTATCAATTTCATACCCCCTCCCCAACCCTGTTCATGACATCTCGCCTGCGATCTCTAGCAACTCATCTAAAAATGCCTACCAAGACCGATATCCACCTCTACACCACCGGCACCCCCAATGGTGTCAAGGTCAGCATCCTCCTCGAGGAGCTCGGCCTCGAGTACAAGGTGCGGGGTGTTTTATCCCTCTTCCCCACGTTCACAACTCCCCCGCCATTTTTGTACGACGTCTTGTGAACTAACATGACTTGAACTGAAGACTACTCCAATTACTCTCAGCAAGAATACGCAAAAGGTAAGTACATGAACATGTCTTATTGGGAGAAACAATATTTCTGCTCAGAGATTAACAAATGCCTGTGTCTAGGAGCCATGGTTCCTCGCGATAAATCCCAATGGCAGGATTCCCGCCATCACGGATACCTTTACGGATGGCAAGCCTATTCGCATCTTTGAGAGCGGTTCCATCTTGCAGTACCTCGTTGAGAGGTATGATAAGGACCACAAGGTTTCGTATCCCTATGGATCTCGAGAGTACTGGGAGGTGAACAACTGGGTGAGCACAAGCAATCCAGCCAGAAAACAGAAAGAATGTAACTAATGATGACTCGCGTAGCTTCACTGGCAAATGGGTGGCCTTGGACCTATGCAAGGGTGAGTGCCCACCTCGGTATCTCCAACACCAAGGAGAGAATTATAAAACTAACCCGAGACATAGACAAGCCAACCACTTCAAGAGTGAGTAGTAGAAGCGCAAAAGTGTACTGTCTATGTGGGCATGTTCTAAACTAGACTCGTAGGATACGCCCCTGAGCACATCCAGTATGGTGTAGACCGTTACACCAACGAAACCCGCCGCCTCTACCGCGTCCTTGACACCCACCTCGAAAAGTCCACCTCCGGCTTCCTCGTAGGCGACAGACTCACCATTGCAGACATTGCCATCGTCGGATGGGTCAACGCTCATGGTATGATGCGATTATCCAACCCCCCCTTCCCCTTTCCTCTCACCATTTCTACCAAAACAACCACCTTTAGTACTGAACTAATCCATTATCTTTTTTCAGATTGGGCTGGTGTGAGTCTTGACGAGTTCCCCAACGTCGCTGCCTGGCTCGCAAAGTTGAAAGCACGCGAGGCTGTCCAGCGGGGATTCGATATTCCGACACCCCAGAACAAGAAGCCGCTTTCTGAGGAGGAGCTTGAGAAGATTGCTGCGCAAACCAGAAGCTGGGTACAGAGTGGAATGGCTGAGGATGCGAAGAAGGCTTGAGTTTGACCGTAATGGGGTGATTGTACACTTTAGGAACGGAATAATGTTATGAGAATGATACGACTCGATTTACTCTGCGCTAGTAAAGTTCATATCCTGTGAATCCGACCGAATAAAAGCATCCCTTGTACGAGTTGCTCTAAGGAGAAGGTCTACTGCTCTGACCCAGGACTGAGCCAGTAGGTGTAGATTCACCGCGCTCCCTCATTGACTGCGATCTTGCTATCCTCCCCGAGTATGACATGTCGCTTCCTGCTATCGACGAGCCATGCGTTGCATGCACTTCCGATCCATTAGCCAGGTCCCAGTCGGTATCTCTCAGGTGCACTCCCTGGGTCGGCACACTCATTCTCCGTAAGCTCGGGGACCCTGAACTGGACATCTGCTGACCGTTGGCTTCGACCTCCAATTCCGCCGCAATGACTGCCGACTGCGTTGGGAGGAGTGCGAACCCGTGGAATATGCAGACATTACCGATCACAATTTTCGGAAAGAGGACGGCCAGCGGCTTAGTTAGGCGAGAGGGCGGTTGCTGTTTCTTGAGGTGTTCCTCTTCCAACTTCACCGCATCATATTCTTGGCGATGTCTGTTGAACCAGTGTTCCGCCTCGGTAGCGGTATATGACCAAGCCCCTTCTCGAATGCGCTGGAGCGGCAGCCACATCTCTATCGCTTCGGTAAAGATGGCCTGGAGGTCGTTTTCCAATTTTGCCTTTTGAGCCCTGTCCTCGAGCCAACAGCCGAGAAACTTGCAGACGTTTCTGGTCGCCTTCTGCGAGACGACTTTGACTACATTGGGACCCTGGCTTGCCTTTGCGAATTGGCAACGAATGACGCTGCCCTCGCTCTTGTTGCTCGTGTTCAGCAGGTTCACGGCGTCAATTATAGGGCCTTCGAGGGTTCCTAGGTTTTCTGCTACGTAGAAATCCCTGAAGATCCGTCGAGCCAGTTCTTCGGAGATGACTGCTTCAGCAGCTGCACAGCGCATATACTTGGCAGCTTCCGAATTGGACTGCACTTTCGGTATATCCCCGGGGAGTTTGGGGAACTAAATGACGTTTTGTTTAGCAGAGATACTCCATCTCCTCCCTGGAGTTCGGACTTAGCGTTAAGACTTACAGCAGGATTAGCAACTTTGTTGTAGAAGTGTTCCCGGACTACTTGGTGCAATCTTGAGCTCAAAGAATCGAATGCTTGTTCCCTACAAGAGAAGGAAGTCGGATAAGAATGCATCCCGGACTGCTAATAGGAAAAGTAGAGGGATTTTTACTTACGCTTTCTTCTCGTCCTTCGTATCCCATGGGAGAAACCCGATGGCAGCATTCGCTTGGTTCAGTGCATATGTGCTATTCTTTAGCTTATTCGCCATTGCCTCTAAATCCAGGTTTTTTTGCCGAATATCGAAACCAAGCTCTTTGTTTTTCTTTTCGAGCTCCCTGACTTGCCTCTTGACAGAGTCAAGCTCCTTGAGACGCAGGTTATTTTCGCCAACTGTCTGCTTCAATTTTGCGTTCTGGTTCCTCAACTCGGCCAATTCTGCCAAGTCCTTGACATGTTGTTCCTGCTGCGTGTTCCACTCGCTGAAGCGGTTCTCGAATCTCCGAAGCAGTTCTTGCCCGCCAATTTCCCGCTCGTCCAGGTCTTGCCGGAGATTTTTGATGATCGCATCTTTCTCCCGAACAAGTTCCTCAAATTCTTCCTGCTTTCCCTTGAGCTCTTCGTCTTTTCTCTCTAGTTCTTGCTTGCAAGCCGCAAGCTGGTCTGAGAGACTCCCGTACTCTTGCAGTCCATCCCTCTCCTTGCAAAGTGCGTTGAAGTCGTCGACAATTTTCTTCAGTGTCGCCGAGAACGTGGCTCCGTCTCCGGAAGGGAGCTTTGCGTTCGCTCCTTTTGGTGCGGAATTGGACCCACGCTTATCCTTTCCGGACATGACTCTTGTGCATCGATGGAATGTATATAATACCAGTCTTTAGAATAAAGGTCGAGATGCTTAATGGGAGGATGAATTAGTCTTTACGATTGGGGTTTACAAGAACACAATAAAACTCTAGTCCTCAAGGTGCGCGTCCGTGAATATAAGAACCCCCCGCTGACCTTTGGGTAGTTTCCGCAGCCTTGCCGTAGACCAACCACCTGTTAGTCGCCGGGATTCCTTGTTGGTGGCGACATTTTCAATTTCCTGATCCGGTTTCTCGACTTCGTCTGCCTATTCTACGTGTTCCACTGGGGGATGTCGGGAGAGTGAAGGGGGGATGCCTTCAAGCGCGGGGCCAGGACGTTGCCGCCTCTGATAGGGTTGGCTGATGTCGCAGGCCAACACCGGCTGTGGCTTGCATGATCGGTCCGTCCAATGGTGACGTTGCACGGGCCGGAGATCGTGAAAATGGATAAAGAAGAGATCCGAGGGGGAAACAAAAATTCGAAGAAGCCGAAGGATTGTATTCGAGTCTATAATATCAGAGAGGTCGGAATGAAGTGGAATTAGCGGACTAGAGGGCTTATTGATGGATGAATCAGGCGTCAGCTCATCAATGTCCCCTCGCCGTCACCATCCCAGATGTCCCAGATGGGTGGGGACTAGCGATTCGGTCCTGGTCTCTGTTACACAGAGACCAGACATCGGGAGACCTCATTGCGCATTATCGATAGGCCTCGACTGTTGGTTGGCCAATCTGCACGAGGGGAGGCATTGCATGGGAGGGGTTTCGATTGACCCAGACATGTGGCAAACGATACCATTCAGTTTCATTCACTTGAAATTTCAACTTCAACCCACAGAGTACAAATATGATTAATACTTCAACAGTAGAAATATAAATCGAATGTGATGAAAGGTGAGATGCTTGGCTGTTGCATGAATGAAGTTCACACTGGTGGGAAGTTGCTGAGATTCAATAATGGATTCTTATCTCCGATGATATATCGGATTTAGTGAGTGATGACATAAGCATCTAGTTCGCCCGATATTTTTCCAAAGAATCCGTTTGAATACAAAGTACACAACGCCACTGTGCCTTTGCTTCGAAACTTTCTCCCACCTCCATCAACATACAACACCCATCGCATCCATCTTCAGGAGCGAAACCACAGGAGTGACGATACTCACATTCACCATGTCTTGGCGAAATCAAGGCATCACAGGTTCTAACAACATCCCCTTGGGGAAGCGCCGATTTGGCGGCGATGACCTCGACGGCGCACCTGTCGAGGATGGCGACCTCAAACGGGGCCGCAGCCCTGAGCGCAGTAAGTTTTTGTCCCGCCCGGATTTTGATGACCCGTTCTCTCTTCTGACGCGTTCTGTCTCTGAATTAGGGAGCGAGACCGATGGACCGAAGCGCCGAAAGAAGCGAAATCGATGGGGTGATGCCTCGGAGAACAAGGCTGCCGGCCTGATGGGCCTCCCTACGGCCATCCTGGCGAACATGACCAGCGAGCAGCTCGAGGCGTACACTCTCCATCTCAGAATTGAAGAAATTAGCCAGAAGCTCCGCATCGACGATGTCGTCCCAGCTGATGGCGATAGGTATGTTTTCCTCCTGTCCCTCCCTTTTTTTTTTTTTTTTTTTTTTTTTTTGCACATGCTGCTAGCCCTCGTCGGCAACGCAGGCATGTGTTGGAGCCTAAAATCACATTGCTAACTTTCTTTCAATCACAGGTCCCCTTCCCCAGCCCCGCAGTACGATAACCACGGTCGCCGTATCAACACTAGGGAATACCGATACCGCAAGCGCCTCGAGGATGAGCGCCACAAGCTCATCGAGAGGGCCATGAAGACCATTCCTAACTATCACCCACCCCAGGACTATCGCAGACCCACCAAGACCCAGGAGAAGGTCTACGTGCCTGTTAACGATTATCCCGAGATTAACTTTAGTATGATTGCTAACCCTCTAACCCTCCTAACTAACCTTTCCCCCATCCCCCCTAACGTCCCCCTTTCTTTGTGTGTGTTTTCTCGCCCGGATTGGAATACGACCAGATATCTTGCTCTGGCGCCACCTTGTACCGCGGTGCTGCGCTTTGTAACTGGTCTTATGCCTAAAAACGGCTTGTCTACTACGCATTGTTTGCTCTACCTAATTTTATCAGAAACTAACACTTAGCTTTTCTCCCCCCAAAGTTGGCTTACTCATCGGCCCTCGTGGCAACACCCTCAAGAAGATGGAACAAGACTCTGGCGCCAAAATCGCTATCCGCGGCAAGGGCTCAGTCAAGGAGGGTAAAGGCAGGTCTGATGCCGCCCATTCCAGCAACCAGGAGGAGGACTTGCACTGTCTCATCATGGCCGACACGGAGGAAAAGATAAACAAGGCCAAGAAACTGATTCACAACGTCATCGAAACGGTATGTCTCCTTTCCCACTCTCGTTTTTTTGCCCTCGTTTGTGTGGCTTGGTTACTAAGTCTTTTCTCTTCAATAGGCTGCATCTATTCCTGAAGGACAAAACGAGCTCAAGCGTAACCAACTGCGCGAGCTTGCTGCCCTCAACGGAACGCTCCGAGATGACGAGAACCAAGCCTGCCAGAACTGCGGTCGCATCGGCCACCGCAAGTATGACTGCCCTGATAAGCCCAACTACACGGCCAGCATCATCTGTCGTGTTTGCGGTAACGCTGGCCACATGGCTCGAGACTGTCCCGACCGACAGAAGGGTGCTAGCTGGCGTAACGATGGCGGATACGGCCGTGGTGGCGGTGGTCGTGGAGGCGATGCCGTCGACCGAGAATATGAGGTATGTTTGACCGCTACAATCATTGCATAATGAATCCCCTCTCCTTTTAAGAACTAATGCTGACTCGATTTATAGCAACTCATGCAAGAACTCGGCGGAGGTTCTGGTCCCCCAGCCAGGATCGAAGCCGGTCCAAGCTCGAGCAATGGTCCTTCAGACGGTGCCAAGCCTTGGCAGCAGCGGGGTCCGCCTGCCGGTGGACCGAGCGGCGGTCCTGCTCCCTGGCGCATGCGACGGGAGCAAAACGATTCTGGAGAAGGCGACGGCTCTGGTCCTGGCTCTGGCTCTGCCGCTCCTTGGGCCCGCGATCGTGATCGCGATAGGGACCGAGACCGGGACCGAGACCGGGATCGCCCCCGTCGTGACGACTACCACAATGGAGGCTATGGCGGTGGTGGTGATCGCGGTGATCGCTATTCTAGCTCGGGCAACGGCTACGGCAGGCCGCCTGCCCCTCCTGGAGCGGCCCCTTGGCAGCAAGCCCCCGGCACCTCTCAGAGCGCGTATGGTGGCTATCCTGGATATGGTGGTTACGGAGCGCCTCCAGGCATGTCCGGCGCCCCTCCCGGCCTTCCCCCTCCACCTCCTCCGGGCGGCGTTCCTGGAGCCCCTCCCGGCCTTCCAACGGGCATCAACGCCCTCATCCAACAATACTCCGGCGGTGCTCCCCCGCCGCCCCCTCCCCCTCCTTCGGGAGATGCGCCTCCTCCACCTCCTAGCGACCAGCCTCCTCCGCCGCCCCCTCCTGCTTGAGCAGATTGACTGAGACCCAAGCCAAGGATATCGGCGTTTTTGGGAGGCTTCTAACTAACAACGACATGGACCCCGGTTTTGGTGAAAAAAAAATATGTGCATCAACTAACGGAACGGAGGACATTTCTCTCCACACTTCTAATTGTCATCTGTACTTTTTGTTTTCTTTTTCTCGTTGCGTCGTCTGCTTTCGACTCACTTTAACACAGGAAGGATGAAGAGAGAAGAGAAATGAAGACCACTAACCGAAACGGACTGCCCCTAACGTTGATGATGCTCGCTGGTTGCAATCCGGGATCCCGTACGCCAAGACGAGGTCCTCCTAACTGGTCACATTGGCCTGGTTATCCTGTAATTACTTGGGCAGGTATGCAGCCAAGTAGTTGGTATGCGTAATGGCCGGGGCTGCGCGATTCTTCCTGTTTCCTTTAACAGTATTTTTATACAGCTTAGTCTCGTAGTAATCCACGACGTTTCGATTCTATGTGGTGTGTTTTCTATTATGTATTTGTGAAGTCTTGCGTCTTTCAGCCGCCTGTTCTGGCTGTCGTGATAAGCTCGACCCTGCGTGTTCGTCAGTTGTGTCTGTTCTTCTTGATCGGACATAAGTGGCTCGGCAGTTCAATGAAGTTGTTGATGCTAAGCCCTTCGAGGAGTGCTCATGTGGTTTTGCGAAGTCCTTGGACTGTTGGGGTTTACTTTCGTAGAGTAGCTCAAAAGTGGCAGCTGGACAGTCTGGGAGCCCACTGAGCCAGCCACTAGCCTGCAGTGGCTTTTCGCACGATTGGACGGAGGCATCTCCCAGCGGAGCCGAGAGCAGGTTGTACGTTGAGCTTTATCGATCCAGACCTCCGCCCGCTATCAACTAATGCCGGGTTTCGCCTTTGCCGATGAAAGAAGACCGGCCGCTTGGGAGTAAAGTCCATTGGTCGTATCATCTGGCGATATCTACCAGACTACCTCGCACATCGCGCCAAGTTAGCCAGGTAAAGTTTAAGTTGCGGCTAGTACTTGTACAGGCGTTGGGTTCCATGGGCGTACATGTACGAACAAGACTTCAGCAACCCAAAGTATCAATAAGTGCCTCCAAATATTCCATAGCTTCAACCTTGACAGTTCCGACATGCCGTTTTTGAACACGACTTGGACGCCGTGACGATTCAAGACGAACGACAGATGGCGTGGAATCTGCACGTTGGGAAATCTCCCCTTCGTACCTGGACTTGTTAAATTGAGCATTAATCCCCCGCGTGCCCTTGCTGCTTACCCGTCAGCGTCAGCTTGGGAATAATTTCCAGGTTTCTTGTTGTCTTCGTTCTTTCCCCGCGTCCTGATTGAGCTCGACCTTTCCATCCTCAAGCCTTGAGAGCTAAACACACGTACTTGTACTTTGTATCTCGAGGAACAGCTCAAGTTGCTGGCTTGCATCAAGTCAGCATCCTCGAATCATCCATCTCCAAATACCTTCTCATATTTAACCCAAGTTCGTCTCATTCATTCCTCCCAAGGAATAGCATCCCCGGCTGCGCATTATTCAATTCTCCCCGTCTCCAGAATTAGGGAATCTCCCCTCTCAAGTCCCCCATCGGGGCAGACATCCCAGCCATCATGAAGTGGTACAACCCCTTCGCCTTCCGCCCCGCCCAAGTCACCTTCTGGACAACCCTCGTCTACGTCGCCCTCGTCATCCCCATAATCTACATCCAGGAGACTGTCCCGCCCACACCGAACACCTCGACGCCGTACCCCGGCGTGGACCTAGACGATGCGTGGGCCGATCTGACGAGCATCACTAAGGCATTCCATCCGTTTAGCAGCAAGTTTAACGAGGACGTGAGGGAGTATCTCTTGGGGCGGATCCAAGATATTTTAAATGTGAATGATGTGCGATGGACGTCTGAGATGTCGTGGCATGGGATTTCGTGAGTTTTTCGTGAGCGCGTGAATTATACCATCTAGTGAGCTAACTAGTGAAAAAAAAAGGCCATTGAACAAGAATGAAGCGGAGGCGAATGCCCGTTTGGAGAAGAGCCCGCTGGCTACCATCTTTAATGACCTCGTGTCGAATGTGACGGTTACTTTGACTAAGAGTAGTAGTGTTGGGACGGCCGATCCGTCTTGTGGGTTGGGAACGTACTTTGAGGGCTCGAATCTTATTGTTTATATCCGGGGGACAGATGATGATGAGGGCGAGTGGTGGAAGAAGGATCCGAGTGAGTGGTCAGAGAATCATCATGGTGTTATGGTGAATGCGCATTTTGACTCGTAAGTTCATCCATATTCCTCCTCTGCCATAGTCCATTATTTACAATAGATATCTAGCGTATCGACTGGCTACGGTGCTACGGACGATGGCATCGGCGTCGTCACAATCCTGCAGATGATCAGCTACTTCACCACCCCCGGAAACCAACCCAAGCACGGAATCATCGCCCTTCTGAACAACGGCGAGGAGGATTACATGTGGGGATCCCGCACATTCGGCGTGAACCCCGTCATGCCCTTCGTGCACACCTTCTTAAATCTCGAGGGCGCCGGCGCCGGCGGTAGAGCCGTGCTCTTCCGATCTACGGACCTCGAGGTCACCAAGGCTTATTCCAGCGCTCCGAATCCCTTCGGGACCGTCGTGGGCTCGGATGGTTTCGCTCTCGGCCTCATTAAGAGCCAGACGGATTATGTTATATTTAACCAGGTCTACGGGGCTCGCGGTCTCGATGTCGCTTTTTACGAGCCGAGGAGCATGTATCATACCATGCAGGATGATACGCGACATACCTCCCGCGCTAGCCTGTGGCACATGCTATCGGCTAGCATCAAGACGATGGAAGCACTCTCCGGCGAGGCAGGTGATGCGTTTGTCGGTCCGAGGCCGGATCACGACGAGAGCAAGGTTCAGAACGGGAGAGGAAGCGACGGCGTATGGTTCGATCTCGTGGGCAAGGGTTTCGCCGTATTCGGACTGAGAACTCTCTTCGGGTGGTCCGTCAGCCTTCTCATCGTCTCGCCACTCGTTCTCCTATTCGTGTCGTGGATCCTTGCGAAGAGTGACAAGTACTACTTCTTCTCGAGCAAGGTTTCTTCGCATGATAGTGTTGGTGGCAGTAATGCCGTCGCTATCAATGGCTGGAGGGGTTTCTTCCGGTTCCCGCTGGCTCTGATCTTCTCTAGTGGGTTGGTTACCGGATCGGCGCTGCTTTTGAGGAAGTTGAATCCGTTGATTGTTTATAGCAGCTCCTATGCTATGTAAGTAGGCCTTTTTCCCTTACGATTTCTTGTACGAAGCTACTTTGAACGGTAAGGCTAATCATTACCGATGATCAACCAGCTGGGCGATGATGGTTTCCCTCTTTTATTTTTCACTGTGGGTTATTATGCGAGGTGCCAATGCCATGCGACCCAGCGCTTTGCACCGGGGCTACGTCTTCATTTGGCTGTTCATCATCAGCTGGGCCATCCTCGTTGCAGTCACCGTGCTCGAGGATCGGTTCCATATCGCGGCCGGCTACCCCTTTGTCATCCTCCATGCCGCCACCTCCCTCTGCCTTTTGATCTCTCTATGCGAGCTCTTTGCTCTTCCGGCTAAGAAGGATTTCTCGAGATGGTCTCAAGGGCCGGCGCCTAGCGCTGCTTCCATCACCTCTAGGGAATCTCTCCGTTCGCGTGATCACCTTAGTGATGACCCGCGTCCATCGACTTCCAAGGCTCCTCCCCCCGACGAAGAACCAGAGTCTGCGGACGAAAGAACCCCGCTCATCATTAGTCGCAGTACGACTCGTACGGAAAACCTGCCCCGCACGACATTTTCCACCACCTACCGACGATCCATTGCCTCCATCACCGACGAGCCGCAGAACCAAGTCCTGAGGAATAACCGGGAGCCCTTCCACCTCGAGCAAGCTTGGTCTGCCGAGCTACCTAGCTGGACATGGTTCCTACAACTTCTCATTCTCGGACCCGTAACGGTATGGCTTTTCGGCCAACTCGGCCTATTCCTAACTGCGGCGACTTCGGCAACCGGCGCGGATGGGACCGCTCTCCTCCTGCCCTATGCTGCCATCGGTGCGTTCGCTATCCTGTCGCTCCTACCCTTGGCGCCTTTCATCCACCGGATACCCCACCAGACACCCTTGGTCCTCTTCGCTGTCTTCGCGGGGACGCTGTTCTACTCGCTCGTGGCATTCCCCTTTTCCTCGAACAGCACCTACAAGATCCTATTCCAGCAGACTCTCGACGTTGACACGGGCGCATCCAACATCACCATCGATGGCCTCGAGGAATTCGTCCGCCCTATCATCGCCGAACTGCCCTCCGCCGCCAAGAAGGAGGTTAAATGCATGCCCTCGGGTCGTAACGCTCTGAGGACATGCTACTACGACGGCTCGGCCGTCCTCCCAAACCTCCAACCCGAGGCCCTTGCCGCGCTTGGCGACGAAGAAGAAGAAGACCCACGCAAACGGTTCGCTAACCTAATCTCCGTTAACATCACTCGTAGCCCCGGTCCGGCATCCAAGACCGCCATCTTCGACGTCGACGCCGTCAACACCAAGGCCTGCTTCCTCATCTTCCGCAATAAACGTGTCACCAGCTTCCACGTTGAGGGTGCCGCACCGTGGGACTCTCGCTTCGGCGAGTTCCACGAGCACGGGCTCTGCCAGGTGAGGTTGTGGAGGCGCGACTGGGATAAAGTGTGGAGAGTAGCCGTCAAGTGGGGAGACGACGAGGGCTACGATGTTGCGAAGGAGACTACGCCCGTCGGCGGCGGAGCGGCGCTACCCTTGGGGCATAATGGGGAGTTGAGAGTGAGAGAACAAGAGAGAGGGAAGTTGGAGGGAGAGGTGGCGTGCATGTGGGCGGATGCGAATGTGCCGGGGGTGATACCGGCGTTTGAGGAGGTTGTGAGGTTTTCGCCGGTTTGGGTTACGGTTACGAAGGCTGCGGAGGGGTTGGTTGTTGGGACGAAGAAGTTTAGTGTGTAAGACCTGTATGTTTTGCTAACTAGTGTGCACATTTTCCTTTGTTTTCTCACGGAGTGGGCGCGGTATGTTTGTTTGGAGCAGCTTTGGTAATGAGGAGGATAGGTACATGACGCTGTAGTGAAGGGGAGATGTAAGTGTTTGCATAGCTGTATCATTGCCACGGATTGGTTTCTTGTTAAGTTTGATTGTATCTTGGGTATCTAGCTGTTTTGTAACGTTTTGTAAGGGTACAATTGTATAGGGATTGTCTCGTCTAATGTCTTGATTGTCGTTAGCAAACTGAATGCGGGTTCCCGACGTATGATCTCTTCTGTTGGCTTACTGGAGAAGAATCCAACCATTTGTCTCTCTCTCCCCCTCTCTTCTCCGTGAATCTAGGACAGCCGATCCCAACTCCAATAGTAGAGCGTCCCAAGGGAAAGCCCAATGTTTTGGCCATGCTCCCAGACACGCATTCTTGAGGTGTGTTGACACCACCGGAATCTCCAACACCGAAGATGACCGCTCGTCCAGCCTTACTCTTAGCTTCGTAGCACTCGCCACAAAGCCATCACGCAGAAGCGCCCTCCCTCTCGGCCCCGGAACCTAAACACTCCACACCGCAAGTTCCCCCCATCACTCCTCCATAGGTTCCCCCTTCACAGCCCCCGTCCCCTCACCCTTCCCCCCTTCCAAAACCTCCCTCCCCGTCCGCCAAAGCTCCGCCTCCATATCCCTCTCCACCCGATTCCTCCTACTATTCAACCAACCCACATCCAGATTCCCCACGGTTCCCACCGCCGTCGGACTCAGCGTCGCCGCCTTCTTCTTCTGCCTCTGGTCCGCCGCATCGGCCCGGTCGTTAGACAGGTCGATGATGCCCGCTTCCTCGAGGCCGAAGATCTGCCGTTTCATGTGCACGTCGATGGTGTGCAGCGTCGTGATGAAGGCGTCCATGGAGGATTTGAAGGTTTGTTGTTGGGTGGAGAGGGGGGTTGAGGGGGAGGGGGTTAGGGCTGTTAGGGCGGTGCTTGTGTGGGTCATTATTTCGGCGATTTTCTGGTTTCGTTAGAGGCATTGGGTATATAGGATGGGAGGGAAGGGGGGGCGTTTACCTTGTCGATCTCGTTGAGTTGTTGGATGCGTTCGGAGATGGTGAAGGGCTGGAATGAGTTTGGTGATTGATTAGATGCCATGTTGGGGGTTGCTGGCGTCGAAAATTGGCATTTTATGAGGGTATATGAGAGTATGGAATGTATTTGGAGGAATTGGAGACTTGGGTCCTCGAAATACTTGAATTCTGGGAATATTCTATGAGATTTGTTCGCTTTGTTTGGAGCAGGTGGTGATCAAGAAAGGCAGCTTGAGCTTAAGAGGATGCAGATGGCAGAGGCACAGGTACCAAGGTACTTCACCAGGTACAATCACGTGACATTCACTTTTGTCGCCCCTTCCCAAGCAGACAGTTTCTGTCACTAGCACCAGTGATTGGGCAGTCGCAGCCATTGCAACCTCCCAATTATGCGCGGCTGTTCATCTTTCGCGACTTCCTCATCAGCCTTACTCACTCCATCCATCAAGACAGAAAACCAGCATCCCTCAGTCATTCATTCCTTTTTTCCCCATCTTCCTCCATCATCACATCTTTCCCCATGCAACTATGTCATCATAGTTGACATCATCCTTTCTGATCTTTCGCCCATCATAACCACTAAATCGACCTCCATCTCTCCATCTCTCTTATATACAACACCATCAAAGGAACCACCATGTCGACAGGCCAGGGTCCTCCGGCTGCCACTACGCCTGGGGTCACTCCTGGACAGCCCGCCCCAGGACCTCCGCTTTCAAACCAGAATCTTAACCAGATCGTAAGTTTAGCCTATTTTCCTTTATTTAGGCCTCTCTGCATGTCCAAATGCTAGGACGGTCTGCAGTCACAAAGGATGTATGGGCTTGCGAGGTGCTGGGACAGAATTGTACTTTCCTTGTCCTTTCTGATTAGGATCTGTCTGGTCTTGGGTGTAAATAATACAGCCTACTCTGCAGTAGCCTGGCCATCACTCTTGGTCTCTGATCTTCTCAGAGTGCAGAAAGGGTAGAAGCAGCTATCCTCTCTTGGCTGCATTGCCTCGTCCTGATCTGAAACATGTCACCTCTGGGTGATTTGCATTCACTGGCAGGCTGTACACTGCTGCGTTGGGTTTGCTTGCTGTTCCTTGACTCGAGCTAGAGACTTTTGTTTCGTTTACTCATCGAGACAAGAGTCTCGTTCCGACAGGAAGGCACCTCTGACAAACTGGCTCTGGAGAATTTCTTCCTCCTGCAAGCTTCGTCTCCTCAGAATCCTAGTCTCCTTTTCCTTTCCAAGAGCTGCTCATCCCCAAGGAAGACAACTCTTTGGACTAGAGCATGCAGACAAGACATCGCCTGGCTTCGAAAATCGTTCATTTCATCTAGTTTGAGCTTGGCGTTTGGCAAATCATTTTACTAACGATGAACACGTAGGTTACGGAGTTTCTGTTGAAACGGGGCTACACCCGGACTGAGCTTGTGTTTAGAGACGAGTCCAAGCATATTAACGAGGAGGGCAGGCCGATTCTAAACGATGCCGACGTTTACGGCCCAAGGAAGTATATCAAGGCCTTCAAGTTGCTGAAGGACTGGGTTGAGAACAGTCTTCAGATCTACAAGGTTGGCTCCTCCATTCCCTGCCACCCCTTTAGAAACTTCCTTTCCATTTCTGACACCTGGAGGGCGATTTAGTTTGAACTCGCCAAAGTCCTTTGGCCCTTCTTCGTGTACTCTTGGATCGAATTGATCGAAGTCGGTCAGCGAGACGTTGCCAAGCAGCTGCTTGAGACAGTGACGCCCACCTTCGAGAAGCACCACATTGATGACCTGAGGACCTTTTCGACCATCTCTCTTCCTCAGCATCTCAAAGAGAACCGTATCACCAGCCTGTACAAGAACAACAAGTACCGCATCCCTCTCAACCCTCACGTCGCCGGCGATCTTTTCCATTTCCTCGAGCGCGAGGATTCCCAGGGCGGCGCGTGCGTACGGTACGTTCTGCAGACCCACTGCGAGATCGACTCGACCGCCCGTGGCCCGATTACCCCCTTCAGTTTCGAGGCTATTTCGCGCCGAACGGAGGGTCGTGATCTGGAGGACGTTGACGCCCAGGAGGGTATCCCTGGTGTGAATATTGGCGTCTCGAATAAGGATGTGTTGGATTCAGTTGGTGCGTTGAAGCTTGGTCCCCTCCCCATGGAAGAGGGATTGCGTGAGGATGTGCGAGCCGAATTGCAGGATGAGGACCAGCGCAAGCCCCCCAAGCCTGGTCAGCCATCCTTGGTTGAGGAGTTCGATCAGAAGATCAAGCGTGAAGAGACGGATGACGCTCCCAGCCGCGCTGATCTGCCCCTGCCCCCTTCGCGAGCTCGCGATGTGGTCATGGAGATGCAGAAGGTCCGGGAGAACCGCGATCGCTTTAAGATTGAGGGCCGTACGGGCGGCATTGGACCAGGCGTAAGCTGCTGCATGTTCACTTGGCACAACACTTTGGGAAGGTAAGTTGACTCCAGTTATCTGTGCCATTATTCTAAAGGCTGTCTTCTAACAAGCCCGGATAGTGTCTCGTGCCTCGATTTCTCAAAGGATCAGAAGCTCGCGGCTGTAGGCACAATGGACTCGTACATTCGAGTATGGACTCTGGATGGCAAGCCGCTTAAGTCGAAGCATGCATCTGAGAAGGATCTCAAGGTCAACAACCGCAAGCTCATTGGTCATTCGGGTCCAGTCTATTCCGTTTCCTTCTCTGATGCCATCGACAGCAAGATGACAAGTCTCTTTGGCTCCTCGGATAAACCTCTTCCTGATACGGGTCCCAAGTTCCTGCTCTCGGCTAGTGGTGACGGTCATATCCGCCTTTGGTCTCTCGAGTTGTGGCAGTGTCTTTGCATTTACAAGGGTCACAGCGGTCCCGTCTTTCGCGTCTCGTGGGGCCCTCATGGCCATTACTTCCTCAGCGGCGGCTGGGACAAGACGGCTAGGGTGTGGATGCAGGACCACGCGTCGGCTCAGCGCCTTCTTGTAGGCCACGACACGAGCATTTCGGCCATTGCTTGGCACCCCAACGGAACCTATGTCTTTTCGGCGTCGGACGAGACCGACAAGTCGATTCGCATGTGGTCAGTCATCACGGGCCAGTGCGTGCGTGTGTTTACTGGACATACTGATTACATCTCGGCCCTCGAGTGTGCGCCCAATGGCAAGACTCTTGCTAGCGCCGATAACGCCGGCAACATTTTCTTCTGGGATCTTGCCAAAGGAACTCGCATCAAGCGCTCGCGCGGCCACGGGAAGGGCGGCATTTGGTCTCTCAGCTTCAGTGCTGAGTCTACGGTTCTAGTATCGGCTGGCCAGGATTGTACGGTCAGGATCTGGGACGTAGAGCTCCCCGCCGAAGGCCACAAGGCGGCGGCAGCCCAACAGCCTCTCATTCCTCAAGTCGGTCAAGAGCCTGCTGACGGCGCGGGAGCTGCGGCGGCGCAGCCTGGAGGATCTGCCGCGGCAACGGCGCCCACTCAGGCTCCCAGCGGTGGTGGTGCGGCTACGGGAACGACGGGCGGAAAGAAGAAGGGCAAGGAGGTCATGATTACGCCGGACCAAATCAGCGCCTTCGCAACGAAGAAGACGCCAGTCATGAAAGTTCAGATGACCCGCATGAACCTGGTCGTCGGCGGTGGCTGCTTCGATCCTGATCGCTAGGAGGATCAGGAGAACTCAGCCGCTGATGGCACGAACGAAAACGGCCTCACCCCGATTGGTGAGGAGCTGATCCGCGCCCTTCATACTCTTCGTGGTTAGAGTCTCGCACGTTGTGTGAGGAGGGACAGACTCCCTCAGTGCCCCCTTTCCCCCTCGGGGGACATTGGTCCGAGACTGGGGAGCGCTGGCGTTAGAGGAGATAAGAGGATGTGATACCAAAAACGAGTGTAGTCGATATGATACGAGAGGAAGCGTTTTAAGGGAAACGAGGAATTCTGCTTTGTTGAAATTTGGCATTTCATGGAAAGGCGTCTAAGGTGGCGAACGGTGTTTGCGAAATTGAAGTTAAACTTGAACTTGCGCCTCCTGGATCTTTGCAAAGATCTCTCTACAGCTAAGGGATTTCTTGTTGATACCGTTGATAGTTTTTGTCTGGGTTCTCTCTGAATGGTTCCGGAGAGGACAGATATTACTAGGTACTACTAATTCCATTAAAACAAAAGTATCAAGTTCGAAGTTGCTCAAGTGAAATTGTATTGTCCTAACAATGGCTCGTATTGTCCCAAGAGTGTCGCCCAGTGTATCTCATTGATTGTTAACGAATTGATCTTCAGTGACGAGAAATACCGAAGTACAATGTTAGAAGTACCAGGGTACAACGATGCGAGTATTTGTGGACATTTAAATAATCTCAACAATTATAAAAAAAAAATTAAATCGACCTTGTTTGTAGCAACATTATATCCTCCTTGATCAATATCGATGTCGCTTCTTTGGATCCTATAGCCCTAGCAGCTATAATAAGAGGTGATGTTCAGTCAGTGATGCTTCCAGGTACGGACATCTTGGAGGGGCGACGAATCACAACGAGAGGCTGCAGGTGGGGGGGAGCTTCCAATCCAGGCCACCATCAATGATTGATTGAACCGTGCTCAACCTTTGCACTCCACAGCTCCGCAGACGACGACGCATCCTCCGAAGCCAACGCCCAGGGTCCAGGGGATTTAGATTCATTCGCCAGCTTTGCATCTCTTTACACTCCGAAATCATATCCCTCCCTTTTAATTCTCCATAACCTTACACCGCACGTTTCTCCTTTTATCCCGCCCCCATCGCCTTACTCTTTATTCGCCACCATGGATCTCGAAGAGACACCCTGGGCCGACTCAACCGCCCAGCCCGCGTCGCAGACAAGCGACATCCCCGCCTCCCAAGAAAGCACCTCAACAACCAAAACGAAACCCTCTCTAACCCTCAGCAACAGCGGCTCCTCGACCCGCGCCCCGCGCACGACCCCCCGCCGCGTAGTCGCCCAGCCCACCCGGCTCGAAGCCGTCGACGACCCCCTAGGCCCGCTCGGCGGCAGCAACACCCCCAGCGACAGCGGCAATGTGGCGGCCGCCATCATCGGCGAGGGTACGCCTCCCGTGCCTCCGCTGAAGGAACAGCAGCAACAGATGCGCACGACGATGCAGCCGCAGCAGATCGCAGTCCGCAGCGGCCCGAGGGATCCGCATCGCATCGATGACGACGACGACGAGGATGAGTTGCTGGGACACAGGAGGGGGTTGGGGTCGAGGGCGCCGCCGCCGGTTCAGGCGGCTAGTCCGACTGTGGCGTCGAGTAATGCGCCGAGCGTGAGTGTTGAGCAGGCGGCGAAGCCGAGCTTTTATATTACGGTGGGGGATCCGCATAAGGTTGGGGATTTGACTTCGTCGCACATTGTTTACTCTGTGCGGACCAAGGTATGTAATAATCCACCTGCTCCGAAGAGTCTACGGAGCTAGAGGGGGCGGCATTCAACTGATTCATTCTCTTCCGAATGATAGACTACGTCAAAGGGATATAAGGAGCCCGAGTTCGAAGTAAAGCGCCGATACAGAGACTTCTTATGGCTCTACAACACCCTCCACGGAAACTGCCCCGGCGTCGTCGTGCCCCCGCCTCCCGAGAAACAGGCCGTCGGTCGCTTCGAAAGCAATTTCGTCGAGAGCAGGCGGCAGGCGCTGGAGAGGATGCTGAACAAGATTTCTTCGCATCCGATGTTGCAGCATGATCCCGATTTGAAGCTCTTCCTCGAGAGCGAGAGTTTCAACGTCGATATCAAGCATAAGGAGAGGAGGGAGCCGCTGCCGACGGAGAGTAAGGGTGTTTTTGGGAGTTTGGGGATTAGTGTTGGGAGCAGCAGCAAGTTTGTGGAACAAGACGACGTGAGTTATTTTTTATTCTCCTTGTTGGCGAACCTGCTAACTAACTTTCTTCTCCCAGTGGTTCCACGATCGAAAGATTTACCTCGACGCCCTCGAGAACCAGCTCAAAGCCCTCCTCAAATCCCTAGAAACCATGGTCGCCCAACGGAAAACCATGGCCGAGGCCGCTGGCGACTTCTCCAGCGCCCTCCACGCCCTCTCCACCGTCGAGCTATCCCCGAGCCTCTCCGGCCCGCTCGACGCGCTCTCCGAGCTCCAGCTGACGATCCGCGACGTCTACGACCGTCAGGCCCAGCAGGACGTGCTCACCTTCGGCATCGTTTTGGAAGAGTACATCCGACTCATCGGGTCGGTCAAACAGGCCTTCACGCAGCGGCAAAAGGCCTTTTACGCCTGGCACTCAGCCGAATCCGACCTCCAGAAGAGGCGGTCGGCCCACGACAAGCTGCTGAGGCAGGGGAAGAGCCAGCAGGACAGGCTGAACCAGGTCGGGGCCGAAGTCGCGGAGGCGGAGAGGAAGGTGCATCATGCAAGGATGTTGTTTGAGGATATGGGGAAGTTGATGAGGAGCGAGTTGGATCGGTTTGAGAGGGAGAAGGTGGAGGATTTTAAGAGTGGAGTTGAGACGTTCCTTGAGAGTGCGGTCGAGGCTCAGAAAGAGGTAATGTGTTCCAATTCTCTTCTCTCTCTTTAAGATGTCTCGGTGTGCTAACTTGCTACATGCTTTTTTTTTAACAGCTCATTGAAAAGTGGGAGACGTTCCTCATGCAACTCGATGCCGAGGATGACGAGTCCGTCTTTTACCGTCCGCCCGTCATCCAGACCTCTAACAAGCCTGCGGGAGATACGGCGATTGATCGAGCGAGGGCGAGGATGGATGATGACTCGGACTAGCGACCCGATTCTTGTGTTGCCGATGAGATTGTGCGGTTGTACACTTCGCATCCCTGAGGGAGGGGGCGAATAGCAAAGTAGTTTTAGAGTATGTTTTTCTTCTCTCTTCCGGGTTATTATTGAATGCATTTATATCAAGTGTTTTACTTCTTGTTTTCACTTCTTTACGGGGGAGGTTCTTCATCGTTGGTCGATTGCTCTGCCTCGTCTGGAGATACCAAGTTCACAGGGTCGTTCTGAGAGGCGTGATATCAAGGTGAAAAGGTGTTAAGACATGTTGTATTGTGTTTGTGTTGTACATGTGTATGATGTGTGATAGTACAGGCTTGAGAAGCCATCGTCTGCTCCCAGCTCTATAGCCGTGTCTAAAATCCGCTTCCGTATCCAACTCTGGCGATATAATCGGGTTCGAATGGTTGATGACCATCAAAAAGAGGTCCTTTCGCCATGGCTTCCGTGATAGACATTTGAAAATCCGCCGTATTCCTTCATCCCGCGTGCTGTTTCTAACCCCCAGATTCCACCTCCTTTACTTCTTCTTCGGCCTCGGCGCCGGCTTCTTCTCAACATCCGGCGTCAAATTCGCCCCATACCCACTAATCAAATCGCCCAAATCATCCACATCATCATAATCCTCCTCGACCTCCTCAAAGACCTCATGCTTCAAATCCTTCTTCCCACCCTTCTTCTTATCCCCAGCAGCGACCGCCTCCTCGTCTTCAACCTTGGACCTCAAATCGAACCCACGACCGTACCTCTCCCTGAAAGCGGCGAGCTTACCGGCCTCGTCGAGCTCGACGTTGCGCAGGGACTTTTCGGTGGGTTGCCAGAGGACGTGGTTGCGCGTGTCCTTGGTCGAGCGGTAGAGGGCTTGCGGGGAGGTCGTGCGGGCCGTGAAGGTCGAGCCGTCGGATAGTTGGATGAGTTGGGTGAAGGTGTAGGGGCGGCGGGGACGGCGGATGAGGCGGGCTGAGGTGGTGGGCGTGCAGGAGAATGCGCGGCGGGTCGAGGGGACGAAGGTGTTGGTGGTTTGGAGGGTTGGTTGGAGGAAGGTAAGGGGGGATTGGGCCCCGGGTCGTATTACGCGCATGGCTTCTGTTTTTTTCCCCGAAACTCTTGCGGCTCGATTCGGATGGGAGGGGATCCGAAATGGTGGGTGATTGGAGTTTTCGTTGGGGTAGTGGTTGTTCGTGGAGGTCTGTCGATGTTGAATTGAAGGTTAGGAAAAAAATTCATGAGACGCGATTGGGAAAGGCGGAATTGGCCGTGGTAGATCTCTTATCGATAAGGGATTTGGTGGGTTCTTTCCGACGACCTCGAAGCTGCTTTTTTCTCCTTGCTCGAGTCGACGGGAGTCTACGGACTCAAGACATAAATTGCCGCGATTTAGCTCTTTTCCTGTCAATCTTTTGGGGACCTCCTAATTGGCCCTTTTAATACTTGTTTCTTTAAAATAATGGTAATTGTCTGAGGGTAGACTCCAAGATGAGAGGGTTTAAAGTTCTGGGCGTTGCTGCGAAAGCGACGCCAGGCAGGACGGGCTTGGTTACGTCGTGGGCAATTGATGCAAATAGCAGCAGGATATGTTGCATTGGAGACAGTAAGTGTATTTTTCTTCTTCTCCCTCCCGATCTTACGCGCCGTTCGTCGCTAAAGGCCGTTTTAGGAATACCCTTCCAATCGAACAGGACGATCGCAACAGCAGCTCGCGCACAACAACCGCCCTCGACTCCCTCAAACACACCTCCAACCCCCTCTCCGACCTCCCACCATGCAACGGCCACGGCCGACCAATTCCGCGCCCTGATGAGACTCCTCCCTCACTCCGTCGTTGTCTGTACATCCCTCGACCCGCACCCTCATACGCCCACGCCCTCCTCTTCTTCCCTCTCGAGTACGACCACTACGAACCAAAAACCCTCCTATCCTCGCGCCATGACAATGTCCTCGCTCACCTCCCTCTCAATATCACCCACACCCCTCGTCTCCTTCAACATCAAAAAACCCAGCAGGACACTCGACGCCCTACGCTCCAGCGGAAGATTCAACGTCCACGTTCTCCGCGACGACGTGCGCGGTTCTAGGATAGCGGAGTGGTTCTCGCGCGGCGACGCGGGGAAAGATCCCTTCGAGGGCGTGGAAGGGTGCGGGTGTGTCGTGGAGCGTGGGGATGGGGGCGTGGAGCTGAGGGGGGAGGGTGTGAGGAGGGTGTTGAGGTGTAGGGTGGAGGAGTTGCTTTCGGTGAGAGATCATGTTATTGTGGTTGGGGAGGTGGAGGAGATTCGTGGGGATGGTGGAGAGGAGGGGGATGCGGAGGGATTGGGGTTGGCTTATGCGGATAGGAGGTATCGGAGGGCCGGGGAGGTGATACAGAAGCATGTGGAGTAGAGGATGGTTGAGGGTGAGCATTTACCGGGACAGTTCTGAGGGTGTTTTTTACAGAGCTGTGTGTATCAATACTTGTATGGCGGAGTTTGATGGGACTGGATAGAACACTCTACATTATAGAATGGGAAGCCGAAGAGCTTTTCTTGGTTACAGGTGGATTCTATGTGCATTTCACGATACGTTGATGAGAGGATTTGGAGAGGGTCTATTGGAGTTCGTCATGGTAACCCCAGCGAAGAGGGAATGTTGTTATAACTGCGTGCTCTTATATCTCCGGGCTGGCTCGAATTTCTAGTTATGCCAATCAGAAGGTCAAAGAATCGACCAGTGAATTGTGCAGAATTGTGAATTGTGAATTGTGAATTGTGGGGCAAGATTTGAGCGCAGGACAATTGGAACATTGCAACGAAACCTCGTTTCTCAGGCGCTAAACCTGGTTGCCCCATGAGCCGCGCAAAGTAAACAAACGCAGAAAAGTACACTCGGCTTTGTACCGCGAACCGAAGATTGATGCCCCCTTCAAACAACACCCTGCAAGACATACCACTCTGGGACTCTGTTGTACACTACTTCACCCACTTGGAGTCGATATCCGCGAAATTTACCCACCATCAAAGCACCTGGGGGAACAGAGCAACGGTGTAGATTCTGTGCTCCCTTGTCCGCCGCTAATACTTTCTCGTCAACCTCGTTTTCCTTCTTTGTATATTTTCCAATTCCCCTCTTCCTACTTTCCTTCGGGGTAACCTCAACGCAAGTTGCCTTCTCCGAACACTCTCAAGTTTGGGGCTCTGCTCCTCGTCGCGCCCATTCTCGTCCCCGTTGCCTTACGTCGTCGCGCTCCTCACCACATCACCATGGACCCCGAGACTCAAGTACGTGTTGGACATCCTGCTTCAAGTTCACGATAGCTTCCGGTAGCTTGGGGACAATCCAAGACCCGACTTGCGAGAGGCAAGTTAGTATGACATGGCGCTAACAACGAGCATTATCCTCGACAGGACTTTCGAACCTCGAGATTGGGAAGTCGACTCCCGGCGCCGAGGGCCATCCCTAGGCCGGCCGGCTCTGCTGTCGCTGGGTTGAGCGAACTCAGCGACTCCCAGCATAACGCGAGATCACAGATTGCGATGCCGCCGCCCTTAAACAAGCCACTTAAACGGGATCTCCCTCAGCCTGGTATGTTTTCATTTCCAGATGCCATTGATCATCGGATAGGATCCGATGATCTTGAGAGTTCCACTGCGTCTCTCCTCCGATTGACCACGCGTTGGCTGACATCCATCCCCATCCTACCATGTAGCACAATCTTCCGAAGCAAAGAGGAAACCACTTTCCCAACGAGCGATCGAATATCCCGCGAAACCCTCGACGATTGCCCCACCCGCTTCCCGGTCTAATGTACAGGGGATGTCGTTGGTGGGAGTTTCTTCAGGAGTGAGTCAGATCGTTCTTTCTGTTTCTTGGTTTCTTCTTCGCTTCTTCGATTGTTCGAGACTCTGGGGGTAAGGGATTCAACCGGCATTGTTCAATTCAACATCAAATGCCTGTTGGCACAACCATCGGGCTCCATCATCATCATTCCTATCAGCAACAGCTTAGCAAGATTCGATTTTATGATCTATCCAAAGCCGATCATGAAAGATGTTGCCCATTGTCTGGGGCAGCGCTGGCCAAGTCCGAAGCAAGCCGACAGTCTCATCGATCGATACCCTACTATTCTTTCGACGGCTGAATCAAGCGACTTCTTCGATCGCGTCCGGCCGTCTGAGTTCCCTCCTCAATTACGCACAAGTACCACCGACAGCCTCGCCCTCCTCCCGAGCGCGAGCGTCCGTCGAAGCGTCGAGAACCCTTTCCAGAGCTGGAGACTATTGAAGGACCTGTTTGTTTGTGAAGAGTCGACTCAAGTGGTTGGAAATTTTCTAGAGGATTCTTAGGAGCGGAGCATTACTTTTGCTTTTGATTTACTAACATCCGTGTTCTTAGCTCAAGCAGCCCAGTCGATATGGCTCGACTCGCCAAGCTCCCCCTCATAACCGCCAGAACTCTATGACGAACTTCGCCGCGAGCGTCGGTCCCGATAGTCGAGCCCCCTACGCGCGCCCAAAGACGTCTCACTCGAACCACCACCGCTCCGTCAGCTCCAAATCGAAAGGCTACGATGCTAGGCCGCAGACCTCTTACGGTCATCGCGCAGAGGAGGACAGCGGGCCATCTGAGAATTGTAAGGCAATGGCCCCCAAATCCACGTAGGACCTGGGTTCTGGAAGGGCAAGTGCCGGCGGTCATCAAGTGCAGATTGCCAAGTCGCTTCCAGGCCTGTCTCGTATTCGCCAGGTATCACTGAGCACAGCGTTCAGTGGCTTAACGCTCGATCCTCCTAAGAAGGATCCCGCCACACTTCACGAAAGGGTGGATGATCAAGTGAATCCCAACCCACCGAGAGGGACCAGGTCTCCCACACCTCTCGCTCCTCCGCTTCTCCACATGCCAAACGTCACCATCAAGCGTGCTGGGAAGTCTCCTCCCAAAACGCCGAAAGCGCCTCGTCGCGAGACCTCTAGCAGAGTTGGTCTTTGCGAAACCTTCTGCACACCATCCAAGGGAGGACCTGCCTCCCTGTTGGATGCATCCGAGGCCTTCCATGACATGCTCAAGTCCGAGGTGAAGCGGACGCTGTCGCCCATGAAATCGCCATCCCCGTTTTTGACAAAGTATTCTAACTTGAAAAACTTTTCAGCCTGGGATGTGGACGGGCGTCTGGGTAATATCGAACAGCAGTTCGACCAGTTGAAGTCGATCATAGGAGATGCCGCGTCGGATCGGGAAGCGTTGGGTAACGCTGTTGAAATGTACAAGTCTAGAGGTGAGTTTTGGGCATGTCGTTTTTTAGGATTTATCCAACAGGCCCGGCCCTTCTAACTCGAATCCCTGTGACAGTATCGGAACTACAGAACGAACGAGACGATCTATTACGCAGGGTGGGCGAGGTCACTTCCGACACGAATCGCTACCGAGATGAAGTAATAGACTTGAGGCGGAAGATAGATGAAGCGGAATGGAGACACAAGAACGAGGTCGAGGCGCTGCAGCGAGCAAACGAACATGCGCGAGACGACTTCCAGCGATCTATCGATACCGAGGTAGACCGACTAAAAAAGGCTCACCAAGAGGAGTTAGAGGCGTTGAAGAGACACTACAACGCCGAGCTCGAGGATGAGAGACGCGAAAAGTCGAAGCAGATGGATGAGATACGGCGGCAGATGGGTAACCAGCAGCAGGACATGCACGGGGACCTCCAAAGGAAGAATGGTGAGATTTCCGATCTGCGGAGCCAAGTAGAAAGCCTCAAGGGAGACTTGGACCGCGAGGCGACATTGAAGAGTACGCTGCAGACGAGTCTTGCGGAAATGTCGGCAGCCAACGTCACAATGGAGGCCAAGATGAACTCGCTCAGGTCACAGATCGAGTTCCTCGAATCCGATAGCAAGGCCCAGTCCGACTCGTTTGCCGACATGGAGGCACGACTCCAGGAGGCGCACCGCATCGCCGACGAAGCGAAGCAGAAGCTCATCAAGGAGGAAACGGAGCGACGCGTTCTCTTCAACAAGTATCAGGAGCTCAAGGGAAATATCCGCGTCATGTGCAGAGTCCGGCCCGTGCTCGACCCTAACGAGGGCAGCGAGGCCAAGATCCTCTTCCCCGACGAAAAGACGTCCGCCAAGATTGGCGTGCTCGGACCGGAGGAGAGGAGTAGCCTCGGAAACGTCACGCGTAAAGAGTACCCCTTCGAGTTCGATCGAGTCTTTGACCCCTCCATTAGGAACGAAGAGGTGTTTGGCGAGATCTCGCAGCTGGTTCAGAGCGCTCTAGACGGCTACAACGTGTGCATATTTTGCTACGGACAGACGGGGTCGGGCAAGACGTTCACCATGTCTTCGGGTGACGGCATGATCCCGCGCGCGACGCACATGATCTACGAAACCATCACGCAGCTCAAGGAAAAGTCGTGGACCTACACGATGGAGGGCTCCTTCATCGAGGTGTACAACGAAGAGCTGCATGACCTCTTAACGCCGGTCAACTCGCGCGAGCCCGGCAAGAAGCTCGACATCCGCCACGACGAGGCGCGCAAGCAGACAACCGTGGTCAACTGCAAGACCGTGCGGCTCGACTCGGCCGACAAGGTCGAGGCCATGCTCGGCGAGGCGCAGAACAACCGCACGGTGGCGGCCACGCGCGCCAACGAGCGGTCGTCGCGCTCGCACAGCGTCTTTATCCTCAAGCTCGTGGGCGAAAACTCGGCCACGGGCGAGCGCTGCGAGGGGACCCTCAACCTCGTCGACCTGGCGGGGTCCGAACGCCTCAAACACTCGCAGGTCGAGGGCGACCGCATGAAGGAGACGCAGAACATCAACAAGAGCCTCTCGTGCCTCGGCGACGTCATCGATGCGCTAGGGAGAGGGACGGCGCATGTCCCCTACAGGAACTCGAAGTTGACGCATTTGTTGCAGTATTCGTTGGGGGGCAATTCGAAGACGTTGATGTTTGTCATGGTCAGTCCGTTGGAAGCGCATTTGAAGGAGACGTTGACGAGTTTGCGGTTTGCTGCGAAGGTGAGATTCTCCCCCGGCCCCCTTTCCTTTTCGTTTTTCCCTCCATCTTAAGCTACTCTAGAAGAAGGTAGTGCTTTGCTAACGAGGTGATATAGGTACATAATACGCATATTGGCACCGCTAAAGCGACGAAGAAGATCAAGGACCGGTCTGATTATTAGGGGGAGCAAGTATGTGTGTGAGTGTGTGTGGTGGAGAGTGAGACGAATTATGAACATAAAAGATATCATTTTGGCTTGTTTTTAGGGCCGTGTTATTCCTTTCTCTGTTGGGCCATTTCTTGTTTCGGAGCTCGTGGGCAGGAAAGGAGGAGACAAGGGAAGTCGGATAGGGATGATGTGAAGACGGGCCTACACAATAGGGGGGCGTTTGCCCTCAAAGCCTCGAAATTGGGGCGGCGGGGAGGGGGGAAGGCTCGGCTTCAAGGGTTACGCAACTCGTTTTTTTGTGTAACTCCTCTCTCTCTCCGGTGTTTCGTTTTCTAGCCTGCTCCATTCTTGGTCATGCGTTAAAGGGGAGGAGTAATTCCAGGTGGATTTTGGTTTTGGGGGGCTTGGGTTGGTTTAATTGGCAATGTTGATATATTCTTGTTTCGCCCTTTTTTTTTTTTCTCTTTTCTTGAAGATTTGTGAGTGTGATTGAAGTGTCAAGGAGTCGTGTCGCTTTCTTTTCTTCTAGCTTTTTGTTCATGGAGAGCTGGAGACGAAGATCTGTTGAGGGCGGGTGTGTAGGAATGAAGATGGATATGTCTGTGAGAATCTAGATGGTTGCCCTTCGGGCTGTCATCCTATCGTTTCGCATAACAAGATTCACATCATCACGCCCGAGCCACAGACAGCTAGCTCTATGTAGATATGGCGATGGGTGATCTTGATATTGGACGGTCTAGGCGAGTCCGAGTTGAAAAAAGCAGGACAAAGTGTGGGAAAGCGAGCAAAGCACGTCGACGCTGACGATGGTAATAGAAGGCATCAACTTTGGGAATAGACATTACATTTATATCTAGTATAAAATATACTAAAAAGAAAGAAAAAGGTAAGAAAAATCACAATAACCTCCCCCAATCCATCATCAGCACGTAACCCTAACCTCAAGAAATCTATACCAAGGCCCCTCCCGTTTTCACTCCCCACCCCCAAGCATATCCCCCAACCTTTCCCTCGTCCCCTCTGCCTCACCTACCATCCCAATCTCCTCCCTCCCCCTAAGAACATCCCTCAACAACCCCACAGCCCACTCCTTCATCTCCCCCTCCTCCTTCTCTCCGCTCTTTTTCTCGTCCCCTTGCGCCCTCGACCAGTAGCTCAGCGCAAGGTTCTCCTTCGCAGCTAAATACGCAACGTGGTGCTCCCCCAACACATCCTCCATCCTCGGAAGAGCCCGTTCGTACAAGTCCTCGGAGGAAGCATAATCTAGTATCGACTCGTACAGGCCCGCGAGGTGCGTTTGCGCCAGGAGGACGGAAGGGTGGGAGGGTCCCAAAGAGGTAGTTTTGACGCGTAGCGTTCGCTGGAGGATTTTCTGCGCGTCGAGGATGTGCAGCGCGCTTCCCTCCTGCAGGGCGTGCGCGTGCTCTTCTAGCGTGTCGAGGACGGTCGGGTGTGAAGGGGATGGCAGGTGCGCTGCGTAGAGGGGGTGGAGGCGCGCGTAGATGGCGGAGGCTTCGTCTGTTCGGCCGGCTAGTTTAAGGATGACGGAGAGGCTGTGTAGGGCTAGAATGTGTCGGGAGCGGGTGAGTTTAGACGCGGAGGAGGGGGCGTCGTCGGCCGGGTAGATGCGGGAGAGGTCGTCTAGTTCGAGGGCGGCGTGGCCGAGGAGGTTGTTTTCGGCTAGGTGGGTGGCGCGGGCGAGGCGGGTGCGGAAGAAGAGGTCCGGGTTCGTGGCGAGGATGTCGTTTGTTAGGTGGATGGATTGGATGAGTTCGTTGTAGCGGGGGATGTCGCCGCTTTGTTTGCAGAGTTGGGATAGGGAGATGATGGTTTCGAGGTCTTGGACGGGGTCGAGGGATGAGGATGAGGAGGACCGGATGGCGGTGTTGCGGCGGAGGGTAAATTCGTGCCAGTTTATGGCGAGGGATGCGTCACCCTGGGACGCGGCGAGGTGGCCGATGAGATGCCAATCTATGCGTTGGGGGTCACGCTTCTCGGGTTTGAAGGGGGAGGGGGAGGACGGGGGTGTGGTAGAGGTGGTGGGAAAGAGCTGGAGGGCTAGGGGGTAGAGGGCGCGGGCGTGGGGGAGGAGAAGACGGGAGGATGCGTGGATCTCGGAGAGGGTCGGGGAGTCGAAAAGGGTTTGGCGTTGGATGGCCGATGCAAGGGCCGAGAGGGCAAGCCAGGCGTGCCGGGGACGTGGAGTCTGAAGGAAGTGTGCACGGATGGTCGGGGGGAGGACGAAGTGATGAGGGGGGGATGATAGTTGGGTGAGGAGGTTGAGTTGTTTGAGTGTTTCGGTGAGACGAGGTCGACGGGCTTGGGGGGCTTTGTGAGCGGGAGAGAGTTTGGTTTTAGTGGGACAGATCTGAGGAAGTTTTGCGAGAAACGAAGGGGGAATGCCAAAGGGAGACACACTAGACTTGCTAACCCACCAGGCGCTCGTCACATCTGTAGATAATCTCGCGCCGATGGCGTTTTCGATGGAGATTAAGAGATCGAGAGGGATAGGCGTGTCTGAGAGAAGAGAGGCCACTCCGAGGACGTCCGCCAGCTGGTCCCGTCGAGGATGTTCCTCGAGGTCAACAAGCGCAGAGGTCGCGAGGGCATCGGTTGTGGTGTAGTAGTTGTGGAACGAGAGGCTCTTTTCCCTGATGGATGCCGCGGTATGGCAGATCAGAGAAGGTCTGAAGTTGAGGCTATGGACAATATCCAAGCCAGCTTGTTCTGTTTTCTCAAAAACGTCAGTCAAACGCAAGCAACTCCAAAGAGGATTTGGAGCAATGAGTTAGTTCTCCTTGCCAGAGAATGATCAAAATTTTACCTTCACACGGATGATGGGTTCTTCCAGCTTCAGCCAAAAGCAGCTCATAAGCCTCTTCTTCAGACCAAATCGGAACCTCCAATCGCCCCATCCCCAACACTCCAATATCAAAGTCCTTTTTCTGCGACACCAAGAGAATCCATCCGTTCAGCGTCAGCGGGAGAAACTCTACCAGATCCGCTACGTCGCTGACGTTGTCCAACACCAGCAGCCACTGATCATTCCCCTCCCGCAAAAGCCAGTTAATAACGGCCTTGATGGACGAATTCACGGCGACCTGGTCTAGCTGGTTAAAATCCCTGCCTTCAAGAAGCGAGTCGATATCGGAAAATCCAAGCGTGGCGCGTAGACGCGCGCGGGGGGTGTCGTCGGAGGGCCCGCCGTCTCCCGGTTGGAGGAGTGTATCGGAGGAATGGTACTTGGCCCAGTAGTACTCGAAGATGGTGCGGCCCAGCTCGAGGTAGCTGACGCTTAGTGTCTCGCGGCTAGAGGCGTTAAGCCAGAAGACGGGGCGATCGCTCGCCTTGCTAGTGATGCGCGCAAAGTGCCGAGCGAGAAACGTCTTCCCGACGTCGCGGTAACCCGTGAGCGCCACGCAGGCTACGCTGTGGCACGCCGACAGCTTGGTAAACTGCGTCGTCAAGTCTTCGAGGAGGTGGTGTCTGACATGGTATGGGGATGGAGATGGATACTCGGGTCGGATGTCAAAGTCCGTTCTCAAGAACGAAGCTTGGTCGTAGACTTGGAGAGGTTCTGTCAGCGTCAAAAGACTACTAGCAGCTGAGGCGTTAGTCTTACGGTCGGCGATGCCGGCGATATACTCTGGTGCCAGCCATGAAGGCAGAGAAACTACACCGGACAGAATGAGGTCGACCCATTCTTTGAGGGCGGTGTAGCCTTCGTCCTGTTTTCCGTTGAATCTCATCAAGTCGACATGCGAGCGTTGCAGCAACACCCTTTCCGCGGCTGGCGTCGTGGACCCAATGTCGACAACCTATGAAAGGAAGTCAGTCGAGCCGGGCAGTTAACTACCAACCCCATCACCCCCAAAACAAACTCACCAATTGACCCTTCAGCCCGGCCGTCGGCAGCGCCTCGCAGAAACACACCGACACGGGATGCAGCCTATCCACAACAGCATCGAGTCCCTTCAACCCCTCCTCCAACAGCGCCGCATCAGTCCCCCAGCTCTTCTCATCTCTTCCCCTCCCTCTCCTGCCCGCTCCACTTCTCGCTTGCAACAACCGTGAGACATCGCCCAAAACCCTTCGCAACTGGGCGGGAGCCGGGACGCCAAAGTACACCAAACCGCGCGTGGCAAGAAAGACCTGTCGAGCATCCGCATCCCGACTCTCCTCCGCGATAATGAGGGCGCGCTGGACAATGAGGCCGCCGAGACTGTGAGAGATGAAGATGATGGGCGGAGGCGTAAGGTTCCTCTGTGCGCCGTCGTCGCCGTCGCTATTACCACCCGCGTACAGCTTCCTTAGTGAATCGAGGAGACGGTCGGCCCGTTCATGAACAGAATCCCTCACTGACGAAATATTAGGCGTAAGTAAATCCGGGCTGTGTCTAAAAGTCAAGATCCTCGCTGTGGGGATGTCACGATGCACAAGGCTCGTCAACCAGCATGAACCGTCCTGCGCAGATTCCCACGTCTCGAACCCATCCCCTAATCCATGAACAGCAATAATGCTATACCCCGTTTCCAATCAGTGTTTCCGTTCCGTAGCATAATATAGGGGTGTATACATAGTAAGACGGGGGAATAAGAAAAAGACAAGAGAAAAAGGCCAAAAATGTTTGGTTTCCAGAACTCCGGGGCTGAGCCCGGAACCAAGAAACTGCCAAAGATCGGCTCGACTTACTCCACGGTCGGAGCTGACCCGAGAACCGGGTCATGCAGCACCTTCAATTCGGACGTAACCTCAACAGGAACCTCAGCTGACGGATCTAGCCGCCCAAAAAGAGAGAGGTTCTTGGAGTCGTCATCGTCGTAGTTACGCGGCTCCGGCGAGAGGGCTCTCTTCAGGAGTCGGGTGCCATGGCTGCTAAGGCGGCGGAGAGACAGCGTTTTCATGGCATTGGAGGATCTAGACCGGATCAGGTTTTTTTCGAAGATGTGGATCTTGTTTCGCCAGGTGATTATTACAGGTAAACAGGGAACAAAAGGGAAAAAAAATTAAGGCCGTCGAAGGCAGGGTATCAATTCTTCTGAAAAAAAAAAAAGGGAATAAATCTTGACCAGAAGATGAGACAAGGATCGCGATGAAGAACCGTCGTATAAGCAAGCAGCAGGACAATGGAGACAATAGAGACTCGCGTTTCCAGATCTATAAAAGACAAAAACGGCCAAGAGATCTCAGGCGATCGAGAGAAAGACACAGGAAACACCCCAGCGGTCTAATGACATGCGCCTTCTGCAAGACCTCGAAGGGTGAGAGGGTGAAAGAGAGAAAAAGAGTCCCAATGGCTCGGGCACGTCTTTGGGGTGGTTGGACAGACAAAAGAACAGCACTGGCATCAGTTGATAAAAGAGGTTTAAATCGGCGCCACCATTCCCGTCTAGTTCAGCAAAGCAAGGGGTCCGTCGAGTCGAGCTTGCTGCACAAGGTAAAGACTGGCACCGTCAATCTAACGAGGCACAAGTTATAAGTTAGAACGATCAGACATTTTTCTCCATACGCTAACCTCATTGACTGTCACTCTCTTGCTCGAGTGAGCTAAGTCTCCTGCAGCCACGAAAAGCCTAATCATCTTACCTGGTGGCAGCAGGTGAGAGTAGGTAGCATACTTTGTAGTCTGCGAAGTATGTCCTTTGTAGGGTATGTAAAATAATGTGGTGTACACTACTGTACGTACGAGGCAGCATGCTACCCTCATTGCAGGGGCCGGAAATGGGAAAGAGATATCTCATTGTCCCCACCGAGGGACGGCGGGGAGTGAACTATGGGATGCACATTGTGCGTGGCCATCTATGACTGGGTTGCCGAAAATCGAGGTGGCGGTCGAGAAGAGTCCCCGCTCTGCAGCAAATGCAGCAGAGTCTCAATTCCCATGACGAAATTTCGATAGAGATCATGTTCATATCCTGCCTCGATCTGAACTGCCGAGTCATCTCTCGAGGCAGAGACACCGAGGCCAAGTTTGAGTTTTCCTGCCCCGACCGCCATGAATTTGTGCAAATGTCGGATCGAGCTTAGATGGTTATCGAACGGTGGGTGCGTGTAAATGATGATGGGATGACGAGCGCCAACTTGAGTGCTTCTCCTCGAAACGGTTTAGATTGGCTTCCCCTTTGGGCAAAGATTGGAGAATAGAGGAGTCTGGACAAGTCAAGCTGGGGCTTGGGACCTGAATCTTTCAGCAGTGAACCCACAGTCAGTTCGATTCCTGTCATTTTTGGTGTGGTTAATGTTGTAGCGTTCCTGCAACCTCCCGGACCGGTAATGCGACGCTGGAAAGGGGTCTCGTTAATGAGGGAATTTAACCCTACATAGTGCGGTTGCATTCGAGCGACGTGGGTAATTAGTGGTGATATTGCTCTGCGCCTATCAATGGACACGTCTCGTAGAGTTTTGAAGACCTTCGGACGTACTTCGCACTTGTCCGCATATCGTTCCACCCTGTGATATAAGTAATAGAAGACATGTTTTCTCCCTGACTGAGAGGGACGACGAAAAGAGCGGAGAGAAAATGTCCGGCTCTTCCAGAATCTCGGCCCCCAATTTTCCGGCATTCGGGAACAGCATCTTGCTCGTAGCGTGCATGTCAGTACGAAAGACACCAGCTGTGGCTCAAACCAGACAAGCGTGGCGCCCCTCTCGTACAACGGAGAACGCACATCAAGACAGCGACCAATCGTAGTCGTAGCCCCAGCCCCTGGCCAGCCCCGGCGCTTTTCTGCCTCACCATCGTTATCCTTCAGAACGCGGTGCGAAGACTCCAGTACAATCGTGCACGTTTTCCTGGGGCATGCCCTGTCTGTTGCCTCTCCCCTGGTGCTTCGGCACCTTCAGCTCGAACAGACCTGGTCCTTGATCTTCGTTTGTGAGGCCAAAAAGACAGACACCCACGTTGTTCTTTCCATTCCAGGTCTTACGAGCAGCCGCCTCGCCGGGAGGGACTGCTTCCAGGACAGTCGAAGAAGCACCCAACAATCTCAAAGATTTTTCATCCAGCACAAAACAAGGGCAGCCTCTATCTTCATCCCCTCTCCGCTAACGCTGGAAAAACCCATCCTTCGTGCCAGGAGAGTGGGTTCAGAGCGCCAGTCAATAGATGTTCCCCACTGTATCCCAACCCCCGGCCGAAAAGTCGAAAACTCCAACCTCTCCTCTCTTCCTAGACCCTTGAAACCGCGGCTTGTAAGATTCAACTCATCACTCCAGCCTTCAGTGAATGTGTCAGAGACGACGGCCGTCTTATGATAGTCGTAGATCTCTTGTTTATGAACACAATCGTTAAAAACCCCCCTCCTATGAGAAGGAATAGTTCTGTCGTTTGAGCCGGCATCCGGCGTGTTAGTTATCTCAGATATTCCCAACCAGCGATTCGTCGCCACGAAGAAGGAAGCCCACCATGCGTCCTGGAGACTTCGGCGATAAAGTAGTCACGTCATCGGTATATCCGTCATCTAGACAAGAGAGTTAGGCGCCAAAGATGTAGATGATGACGCCCGCAGCTGCAAGAAGCATGGCGCGAAGCATGTCGCTGAGGTGCTTCTCCGCTTCCTGTATGCCGTCGTTGCGGGGCGCAAAGGCGAGCTGAAAGGCGGTTGCAGGAGAATCAGTTCGAACAGAAGGGAGCAGAAACTTCTGGGTCCAGCAACGACCCCACTGATCTCTAGTGCAGAGTTGAATGATGCCACGCATTTTCTCCTCCCAGAATGTGTAATCCCAAACAACTTTGGTTGGGTTCTCTCGCCATCGCAGCTGAAGCAAACTTAAAAGAACGACGAACAAACAACACACACCCGAGAAGGAAGAGAAAAAAAATGAAGGAAAAAACATATAAAATGCAAACTAGGATCGTATTCTTAGGTATCTAAAAAGTCGCTTCATACAAGGCCCTTATCCTGACTAGTCTGGAGCTATCCCTATGCCGCGCGCCTAAACCTCAAACGCCATGCTTCCGTCAGCCTGTATCAATTCGAAGACTTGCTAATGAGAATGAATGAAAAAGGAAATGATTCAAAGGAACAAAATATATGAATACAAGGAATGCTCATATGCCGGTACAGGTTGGTTTGCCCTTGCCGATCGGCTATGAGTGACCCGCGCTTGTGTTGACGGGCAAACGGGTTTGTCCCCGGAAGCTGGTACTCAGTCTTGCAAAAGTAGTTGGCGAGAACAATTGTTGCTTTCAAGGTTCGAATGGTCGCCTCTCCGTGTATGTAGGGCAGAGTGTTTAGGGCTCTTTCGTCTACTTTGTCTTTTCTCGATATCCGATTCGCCGTCTATACTGACTCCCAATCCATGGCATCAACCATGAAGCTCCAGTCCACAACTTCTACTTCCTTGTCGGTAGCGATAGCCTCATTGGCAACTCGCTGTTGGGCAAGCTCGTAAGCCGCCTGGAAAGCGTCAAGAATCGTGCTAGTGATCCTCTCAACATCATACTCGGCAAGCGACATTTCCCCAATGCCCTTCGCCGCGTTGTCGTCCAGATACTTCCACCTGTTCCTCATCTCCTTAGCCTTGGCGAGGCAGCGCCTGACTTCGCCCTTGCCCAGCACAGGATGGAGCTCGTTATCCGGGGAATCCAGAGCCGCCAGCACATTATGATGATAAGCGTGGGCGCCGTCCCTCAGCATCGGCCCAGAACCGTTGCCCGAGATCGGGTCCCTCGTCACGACAATGTCGAAGATCCCCAAGAGGTGCACGAGGGCTCGCTCAAGCAGCATGTAAAACTCGTAGAAGTCGAGCTTGAACATGGTCTCGTACTCTGCGCGCTGCGCGGGACCGAGACGCGGGTCGCTGGCCCGGAGGAACCCGTTGGAGAGGTGCAGGAGCTTCCAGCTTAGGCGCTTGGCGATCTTCTCGAAGCGCTGCATCTCGTAGCTGTGGTGGGTGGCGGATGGGGCGTCCGAGGGCGGTCGCTCGGGGGTTTGAGGGACAATGGGGTTCACTGTGGGGGTGAATCTTCCTGCTGTGAGGGTGGCATTGGTTACAGCTGTGGCACTGGTGCCTATTGTAGATGTCGTGGCAATGGAGCTGGATGAGGCCCATCTCGAGTTGTTCAGGCCTCTAGCAGGTCGGAGGGGGTTAGGGATGCCATTCTGGCCCATCTTGTCAGTCTGTGTCAAGGGATTGAACGAGAAGTAAAGGAAAGAGCGAGCAGGAGCTAATGCTGTTTGTAAGTGCAACTAGGATTAGGTAGAATATGGGTGCTCTGGGGTATTAGTGAGATACGTAAGAGAGGCGTGGGCTGCAGAAAGGATGAGATGGGATGAAGGAAAGGAGAGGATATGTAGAATGTTGGTTATTGAGATGATGAGTTTGAGATGTTGGGAGAGGATAAAAGAGGATAACGGACAAATGGAAGGTCACAGAAACAACATGACCATTGAGGGAGATATGAAGTAAGATAAAGGACAAAGGAAAGAGCGGATTGAGGATGGTTTTGAAAGTGAGCCCACTTGGGATCTGAATCCTCATCGAGGAGAGGAAGCTGCGATTTGATGCTTCCGATTGCCGCTCATGGCCTGGCAAGCGGGCCTGGCGCAGCACACAGGCATAGAATTTGGGCGCTGCATCATTGATTGCAGTTGACGAATTAGGTAATCGTCCGGATCCCGTTGCATCAAATTGCCATCGACATCATCATCCCGTCGTTTCTCACAGTTGTTCTTTCCCCCTTTTGATCAATTATACTTGTAAATAATTCTGCCAAGGAGGGCATATTTGAGCAATCTTCCCTTTCCGGTTGTTGCTCCTCCTTTGAATAAAATTGCAAGTTAGGCTGAGAGAGGTATCGAGGTGCAGCAGGACAAACCTCGACGAGTTGGACCTTGTCTGAGTGGATTCATCACAGGCCGAGGACGAGCAAACTGCTACCGTTACAAGGTCTACTTCGTAGAGAGGTGAGTATGAGCATGAGTGTCGAATAAGCTACTAAAGTTACAGAGCGCTAAAACAAAGCATAGCCCTTTTCCCATTTTTCCCATCCCGAAAAAACTCGAATCCGTTACATTGATGATGCATGCATATCCCATAAGACCATTGAATCCTCTCCTGCTGTGCAACGCCGTGGTATATCCTACCTCAACCATGAATGAAGAAAAAAAAAAGCTGCTGTTAGGGACATGTACGTCTGCGCCTTATGCCTAGGCTGTCAGTATATATATGTATAGGGAATAGAAGACCCCGAAGACCCCCATTTCCCCGTCACGACCTCTCTTAAAAAGGTCACCCTTAATGAGCGAGTGAGAGAGGCTATACTGGCGGTCCGTCCCTCTCCGCCTGTTCCTCCTCCATTGTTGGGCCGACGGGGCGGCCGCCGTCGACAATAATTTGCTCGTCGACGCGTTTCGCAAGCTCTTCAGGCTCTCCGTGCTCGATCCGCTTCCACGTCGTGATACGCGAAACGTTGGCGTCCACCTCGAACACGCGGACTCTCCTGTTGTAGCCGCCGTAGCCGGCATATCCTCCGAAGCCTGAGCCACCAGCGTAGCACATCCATAGTGCCGGCCTCTTTTCTTCTTCGCCTTCGGTTGATAGCATGCAATAGTCATTGACGTGGTCACTAGGATTGTGTTAGAAAGATCTCAACGTGTGCGGCGGCGAATGAAAAGAGGTAATGCTACTTACTGTCCACAGCTGACCATAACGACACCTTGTTCCACGAGGGCATCCCGGAACCCAGAATTATACGCTGGTGCCGTGACGTACTCCCTCCATGCGCCCTTCCAGAACCTCTGAACTCCAACGTACTCGGGAAGAGGAATGTGAATAAAGGCGAGGTCCATGTGGATATGAGTGTATTCCTTATGAGCCGGTTTGAGCCCCGATGCGGTCCTCTTGAACCATTCGATCTGGTTGGGCCTGAGCCAGTCATAGCCGGGGTATTTCTTCTCATTCGAAGAGTAGGCGTGGGTATCCAGCATATACAGGGTCAGCGCAGAGTGGTCGGAACTTCCTCGGGCCAAGATCTCAATGAAGTAATTTCCAACACCATCTACATCTTCCGGTCCGGCCGCGGAAAGTGAGTAGGGCAGGGATTCGATGATGGACATCTGCGCTTGTCGTGACAACGTCTGCTCATCGTCATGGTTTCCGAAGATGGTGACGTAGGGGATCTTGCGCTTGATTGCGATTTGTGCATATTTGAAGATGGCCTGTACCCAGAGTTAGTATTGCGTCCATGCTTCTCACATACTGACCGACCAGTTATAAAGAAAAAAAAAAAAAAAAAGGCTCACTGTCTGTGCATCCGGAGAGGTGTCACCATTGACTTGGTCACCGCTAAAGACGATAAGATCGGGCTTCTCTTCGTCGATAACCTTAGAGACAAAGTCTAGGGTCCTAGGATCGGCTTCGCATTTCCCGCCCTGGTAACTGTCTGGGATAGCCTCCCGGCACGCGCCCGGCCCCGTGCTCAGATGAAGATCCGAGATCTGTATAATCTTAAACTTCCCATTATCCTTGATTCGAGGAACAGGCTTAGCAATCTTCTTCGGCCTCCCTCGCCGCACCGTGACGTATGTCCCAGGAATGCCAGAAGCCGAATCGAGGAGCAGCCGGGTGCCGACAATGCCCCATCCCTCACGCGCCTCCACTGCGTCATCTCCGAACAGAACATCCACAGCCGTGACAGCCTTGTTCGAGTCGCTGGCAAACCTGCTAGTCGATCTCTTGATCCAGAGACCGCATGGGCGGGATTCCCACTTCTCGTCCGCCTCGAGCTGGCCTCCAGACGCGGCACCGGGGTCGAGCCGTCCGACGGAAATATCCATGACGACCTTGTCATCGTCGGCGAGATCCTCCTCCTTCTTTCTCTTGACGTGCAAGTACGCCGTTGATACCCAGGCCTTCCCTAGGTATAGGTCCTTGTCGATGCGCTGCCATACCTTCGGATCTAGGTCGCAGGAGGAAAAGGGGTTGACGGAGGAGCATTGTGTGATTGTTATATCGGTTACTACGTGGCCTTGATTGTGCTGTGGCATGTACGCATGGAGAGATGGTGGTAAGACGCGGTAGTTTCGGTCGAGGAAAAGTAGGGCGATGGAGAATAGGATTGTCGCGATGAGGAGCTGGACCGCGGTCCGTACCTATTGCAGAATTCCATGCGTTAACAAGGTACTTTACTTGTCAAGCAGAGTACAAAGGGAAAGCGCGAATACTCACAATACGTCGAGCCATAGCGGAGAGGGCCTGCTACTTCTCCGAAGAATGGTCTCGTAAAGTCTGGCGTAGCCGCGTTCAAATGGAGGTGGTACAACTCCGTGGTGTTCGTGAGCAACGGGGTGTCAGATGCCGAAACACTACTCCATAACGTTGCCAGCAATGTTTCGACTCGGCTCCGAAGCCACAGAAAATAGGCTTGCTAAACCCTAATGAGAGACAACTGAATTATTGCTGCTCCTTTGGCAAACCTTTCATGGGACGTTTGTCTCCCTCCTTCGGTCTTGTTGTAGATGCTTGAAAAGGAGTAAGTGCCAAGACCGAGTTCTGGTCTACAATTGTAAGGGCGATATAAATACTGATCAGTATTACCTTTACTTTATGTCGGCTCAATACACAGTTTTGCACCAAGACCTCCTACAATGGCTGTTGCCAACTGGCAGATCCGATTAGTCATGTCCGGGGAAGTCCTGATTGGGAAAGAATAATGGTCCGTGCTTCAATCCTAGCCTTACTGACAGTCGTAGCGGTACCTGGGTACCTCAGCTTGCTGGCTGAGCTGCACGCGGCAAATCGCCCAGTCGCGCCCATCTTTTTTTCCTTCAGTTTCCCTCGTTCCCAGACATTTCCAATTCCTATCATCTTCATTTCCAATTCTCAACCACCCGTCGTGTATCTACCTGCAGCAGCTTGAAGAGGGTCGCCGCGTCCAATTTTCCTTGTTGAAGCAGCTTTTTCTGCTTTCTCCCCCTTTCCCGTCCCGTTCCAGTGCAGCCTTCTGCCTGGATCCCACCCGCCACCTCCACCCAAGACCTCGCCGAAGTCATCCTCCTTCTCGACAACAAGAAAAAATGGAGTACACGTCGATGAAAGTCCCCGAGCTCCGGAAGCTCCTGCAGGAAAGGAGCTTGCCCGTGACCGGAAACAAGGCGGACCTTGTCGCCAGGCTGCAGGAGAATGATAAGAAGACGGCCCCAGAAGCCCAGTCAGGTAAGATCGTCGCTTGTGGTTATTTCCTTTGTCAAACATCAGGCGCACATTCCAGATTTCTCGAGGAGCATGTGCCGCTTCTACATGTCCAACTGCGCTTTTGCGTCCTGGTCTCATGTCCCTGTTTCTGTGGCCATTTCGCGTCAGCATCTCCTATCCCTCTCTCGCTCCCCTATTCTCATTGCCCCTCTTCTGGTGGAAACTACGGGCTTGTGGATTCATTTGTCAAAATGACCGTGTCGAACGATGATACTAACGCATATCGTACAGCCGAAGATGAGATCGACTACTCAGACGACGATGTAGCTATCACAACCAAGAAGAATGAGGCTACCACCGAGGCCGAGAAGCCAGATGTCGCCGAGACTGAAGCCGCCCCCGCTGAGGTTGCCAAGGAGGGCGAGGCCGCCGATGCTGTCACTGACTCTCCCGCCACCGTCACCGGGGCCGCTGCCAACGGAGAGGCCTCCGCCGATGCCCCTGCGGCTGCCGAAGATGAGGCGGCTGCGGAGAAGTTCGCGCTCAACCTCCCCCCAACTTCTGCCGAGGACGAGGCCAAGAAGCGCGAAGAGCGCGCCAAGCGCTTCGGCCTAGTCGAAGATGACGACGAGCGCAAGAAGGCCGACCGAGCCAAGAGATTCGGAATCGACTCGTCCTCCCTCGCCACCTCCCTCGACTCCGCTCTCCCCGATCGTCCCCTGAAGCGCGGCCGCGCCCGCGAAGACGATGGCGGCGACAACAAGAAAAGGCAGTCCAACAATCGCCGGGACAACAGACGCCACGGTCGTGGTCGCGGTGGCCGCTTCAATAACCGCCGGGCTGGCGGCGGAAGGTCCGAGGGCGGCAGCCGCGGCTCGATTCTCTCGGATCCTGCTGAGAAGGCGAAGGCTGAGGCTCGTGCTAAGCGGTTCGGATCGGGTTAGGTTTCTGGTCAAGATTCCGCTGTGCTGGAGAAGCGAAGGAAGCGCTTCGGGCAGGTCGAGGCTTATCCTCCTGCGTGAACGATACCCCCCCTTTTCATCGCTTGTTCCCATATACGCACGACAGACCTTTTTTTTTTTTCTCTTTCCTATTCTCCTTTTTCCCTTGTTTTCTTTTTCTCTCGCTTTTCATTTCTCTTTTTTTTTTTTTTTTTTCTTTCCCCGCACGTCATGATGATAGGTTTGGCATTGCAATTTCTGAGGTACGAGAAAGGGGGGTTTTGGTGGATGGGATTTCACAATACAGAACAAAAAACACCAAGAAAAAGCTAGAAAATATTTTCTCCATATCTGTACACTACGGAACTTTTGCTGTTTAGGGAAAGGAAAGGAAGAATGGCGTTTAACGGTCTTTGCAAACGAGAAGAAAGGTCCATAAGCGGAGGGAACGAGTCTACAAGTGAAGTTAGGAAAAGGTATATTGACGAGTGGTTTTTCTTTTGTTTTTTTCTCGAGCCTCGAGCCTCGAAGATTGGCCTGCGATTTTCCGATGGATTCCTAGTTTGGTTTCTAGGTAGCTTGATAGCGGTTTTTTTAACTCGTTGATAATAGATTGCGGATCTCCTCCATTTCCAATGTCTCGCGTGGCGACCCTTGTTCCTCTCTTCTTTCGAACACTACGTATCGCATCGCGCTTGGTGCACGCTCCCGGATTAGGACTAAGAAACCTTGGGGGTATGCACCGTCCTACTTGATACGAACTGTAGGACAACACGAGACGATATAACATTGGGCGCAGAGATGTGCAGACTACAGCTGCTTGCAGTGTGATCTTTCTCCCAGTCTGCCGCCTGGTCGGACCTTTACTGATAAGCATGGAGAGGAGGCTGAAGCGGAGGACCTCTTTCGGCCTCGAGCTCATCACGTACGCCTACCCAACAAGGTAGCCGAGCTGACATCTGCATAAACCCTCTTCCTTGCCAGGGGCCCGAGTTTCTGCACAGGGTTTGGGGTTACGCAAGAACCGTGCCGGGGTTCGGAAGAATCTGGACAAGGCTGGCTACCGAGCGGGCTACGGATGCCATCAAGATCTTGAAAACCCAGCTGAAATGCACGGGGATGCTTCTGTAGTAGGTCTATTTTCTTCTCTACCCTGATTCCTACCCTTGCGATGGCAGTGTTTCCAAAAATCTCGTTTTACACACTATCACTCAAGACTTCGAGCGTGACATCCATATCCTTGCCAGATCCTTCCACGGCAACGAAGAACACCTCCCAAGGAGGCAAAGGTAGGCGCTCCATCTTGTTTTGATGAAGGGAGTTCACATCATCTCCCAGGACCCCAGCCGGTGGCGTCAAGGGGAGGACACCACCGGAGATGACCAGCCCGAAATGGCGGGTGGTTGTGGGGGGTCTTCTTGCGCTCGAGGCACGTTTTGCAACCAGGACGGTGTCTGGTTTCCTTCTTTGGACTTATCTTGTTTTGAAATATCCGAGGTTTCATAGGGGGTGTGAACTTGCAGTTACTTCACATCCCATCTGTCTGATCATAAGCTGGGTAGTATCAATGTATCTGACGGATTTCGCGGATTTCGATAGCCCGTTCGCCGTCATTGATGGGTGTTCTTACTGGCGCAGGTATTGTATTACTATGAAAGAGGGAAAGGGGTAAAATGACATCCAACAGCCATTACAGGAGGGCTGTATAATAACGAGTAAGATGTAAGAAACGGCCTTGATCAGCGGACTAACTCTCTCTCCTTTGATATATTGGCTCATTGATTCCGCGCCTTTGATGATTATGATCCGCGAAGATGGGACGTATTAGCTCTGCTTTTCTAAGATAGACCAATTCCATGACGACATAGACCAGTCTCACTTCGACCAACTCGTAAGCAGCGTCCTACTCGATTCACCCTCATCGAATACACAATTGACAGGTCCAGGGCCCTCGGTCAGGCCTATCGTCAGAAAGCAGCTAAGCCTTCTCAAGAGAGGCGTCTTGCCAAGAAAACGAGGATTGGACGAATACAAGCCCTATAAGGAAGGGATGAAGCCATCTCAGTTCTGTCCAACGAGAAGTCCAAGAACCCCCAAATGAATCATTCCTCGTGAAATAGCGCGGACGCCTCTCAGCAAAGTGGCCCGAGTCTCAGCCCGTCTTCGAGGACGGAGGGGATTACAGGACGCCAGAGGAAAGAAAAAAGAAGCTAAACTGAGACCTCTCAGCTAGACTCGGTGGCGTACTAATGAAGAAACTAAGCTGGTGCCCATCAGCCTTCCTGGGAGAAGAACGGACGCCAACGATAGCCCTCGGCGTGGGTTTACGCGGGTTGACTGGGCGTTCCCTCGTGGACCTGTTCTAGTGCGTGGCTGGCTTGAGGAACGCGCTAATCCCGCATTTTTCCCTATAGTCATGTTCACTCGGCGAATCCACAATGGTATTCGACCATGTACGATGGGTACACTTGAAGGATAGGACGAGAGGATGATGCCATCGGACAAGAGAGCGGCGAGGGGATTATCATTTCCCTCTTGTGAGGATTCCCACGTGAGGGTGTGGACCTTGTAACCCTCGAATGAGAACTCATTCTGGGACAATTCTCAAGGACTTCCTCGGGATAGAAGGAAATGAGAGGACATAGAATCCCTCCGTGTATGACTAGACCGAAAAAGAAGGAGGCGCGAAGGAAGGGGAGGCGGGCACGTGGCCAACACGTCTGGTTTCTGATGGCTTCATTGCGCGAACCTTGGCCAAGCTCAAATGTCAGTACAGCTATCCGTAATGGGTAAACAGTGAGTCAAGGGCTGGTCCGCCGTTCGTCCCTAACTGCCCCCCTTCTTCTTTTCCCATGTTACATGGTAATATCTGAAGCTTGCCTCTTCCAGTTTGGGCGTCGAATTAGCTTCCAGAGCTTGACAGACAGCGAAGACCAATAGAAGCGCTGAAAGCCTTCCTGAGCAGGGAGAGGGCGTGTGGGTCCTCCGCCACCCCTTTTTCTATGGTCCATGGGTAATAATGGGGTGCGGGAAAGGAAAAAAGAGGAGGTAAGAAAGAATGAAAAAGAGGCTTATTATTAACGGCGGCTGTCGAAGCGATAGCGGATGTGTTGATGGATTGGTTGGAGCCGAGAACGTGAAGGAGGTGGTCTTTGCCTCTTTTTGCCCCTCCATCGCCCCGCCTATAGACATCCTTGGAATCACTAACACCCTTTTCGCACTTGGATGCAATGCTAAGCACTTACGAGTTCCTGGACAGAAGTACGAATACGTTGAATACACCTCCTCCAGACCAGATGTTGAAAAATAGACCCTTTTCGGCTTTTGCGCAAGCCTAAGAGGCAACATTGAAGAGTGATGCGTTGTCAAGCTTCATCAAGTGCGATATCCCATCTTCTTCGGTCTCGTCGGAGCCCTCTCGAGTCGTCATGTTGACTGGGAAAAGTACCGAGTACATGAAACGACAGGGCGAGTGACTTTGGCAGATATTGAAGGACCCTGGGGCGTGCATCAAAGGGCCCGCTAAATTCTCAGAGAGTTGCACTGGAAGATCCGGAGACCACAAGAACAGCATGGGGTTCCAAGAAAAATCAAGCCTGTCAAAATACCATCAGCCACAAAAAGAAACAGGGGAAAAGACAGAAAAGACCCCAAGAATTCCGACAAAATAAAACATCCTGGAAACCTCTGACCTCATAGATCCCGGGGTATAAACATCCCGGAGGATGGGTCCAGAATCGTTGGGCAACACACCTGCCACGTCAGCGGGAGCAATCAATTGAGATGGATCGATCCTTTCCTTCGGTGCGCCTCACATGACTTTGTTATGGAGCAGACGAGTTGAATCCAGCTTCAGCCCGCGCTTAGAGGGCGGATCCGGAGAACGCCGGGCGGCGCCTGTGGCTGAGCACCCAGCAACGAGCCAAGGAGGTGAAGAGGGTAAAGGGAAAAAAACGACATTGCATTGCATATTCCATCTCGCAGTAGGCGCAAATTCCCTTGCGTCAAAAGAAAAAGATGGAAACCCCAGCGTTGTAAAAATAGGGACTGCCAACTCAGCAACGCATCATGAGGCTTCAGCTCGTCGAGGCAAAAAAAAGGATCATTGATGCAAATCTTGCAGCTGGGCTCCCTCACCGAGCTCACAGCTTTGCCAGCTCGTTCGCCTCGTTTCGTGCCAACGCATGCGTGTCTCACTCGATCTGAGATGTCGGGGATCATGCTTGTCCGATGCTAACTCTTGCAGATGTGCAACGTCGTTGGTCGAGATCTTTCTGCGGGAAAGAACCGATTTCATTTTCTTCCCATGTTCCCCCTTTCTTGTGTGGTATTTTGGTTTTTTAACCTCATGGCTGAGTCGGCACTGTATCAGACGAGAAGGGCCGTTGAGCAATTCCATCGTTTGCTCTCGAATTCCAACTTGCCAGCGCATGGAATTTGCCACAGTCCCTAGGATGCCCGCAAGCCTCTGGCCGTTCTCCCTTCTTGTGAAGGGGCCAACGTCAGTCAAGGAAGACTAGAAGGTGAAGAAGCGAATAGCAGGCTCTAAATTCCATTAGGAAGGTGAGCACCGATTGGAAGTTTGGCACCCCGAGAACTGATGGATAGGTGGAATCCTCATGATAGATGGCCATTACTCTCTCGCATTCGTATTATCCGCGACGGCCGGAACATGTTGTGTTTTTGATAGGTAAAGGGCAAAAGGGGGGAAGGCGATAGGAGTAAGGACAGCCGAAGCATGGTCCATTCATGTAGGTGGATGAAAGTAGTCAAGATGAAGTTTGGACTATCATAATTCATCTTTTCGTTTTCTCGTCAGTCACTGGAAGTGGTGGAAATATTCCCCACCAATGACCCAGTCTTGGAATCAATCCCACCCCCTTTTCATGAAGCTGGGACAATCACGATTGTTGAATACCCCCCATCTCGCCAGACACTTGGCCCGAGGTGTGCAAGAACACCACAAGTTCGACAAGGGATGTAATCAATTCTTTCCCTTATTT